GGTTTCTCGAATTCCCTAATATTATTAATGAAGTCGTATTTAAATGAGCGTTCTCTCTTAGTTACTGTTAACGCTTTCAAATTCAGCAGTCTGGAGTACCCTGGGGCTCGGTTTTGGGGCCGCTGTTATTTGATATGTTTATCAATGACGTAATTGACTTGATTGATCTTCATTCTCTTTTATTTGCCGATGATCTTAAGATCAAAGTAAAGCATTGATAAAGCCTTTCAATGGTGTGTAGATAATAATCATTTGTTAATGAACAAAGATGAATGTTATCTTATATTCAGTCGAAAAATTAAGGATATAAAATTTAATTATAATGTTGATAATAGCATCCTTAAAAAACCGACGTTGTACATGATCTTGGGGTCATATTTGATCCTAAACTTTCATTCAACTCGCACATTGAATCTATTGCGACATTATCTTTTTGTTCTCTAGGTTTTGTTATTCGCAATGGACGTGAATTCAGCGATATTGAAACTCTTAAACTATGGTACATAATTTTTGTTAGATCTCGACTTGAATACTTGAAAATAATTAAAGAAGTTGTAGAAGAAAAGTGAAGGATTCAAATTGATTACTACAAAATTTACCATTTTCGATATGTTTTAAGTATTTGGTTGGTTTGGACTAATTTCTGCGGGAAATAGTTGTTTGGTCGGTTTTTATAACGGCTAAGTGAATATTTTTGGTACATATTTAGCTGATTTTACATATTTTCTTTAACTAAGAATTAATTCTTTATTTGTGTTTTTCACTAGCAAAACATCTTAAACTAAGAATATTGTTGAAATCGTAATAACCCAGTGGATTTTTTTCGGGAAAATGTTTTAGAAACACTGTTCTATTTTGTATGAATTTTTAAATGTTTTTAGTGACAATTTTTGTGGTTGTCTTCGATACACTGTATGATATTAATAGTGAGAAAAAAATGTAAAATTAAAATAATCGAAACATTGAAAAACGAAATATCGAAGAACTGAAAATTGAAAAATGAAACATCAGAAAATCGAAAAAATGTAAAATTCAAAAATCTAAAATTTACAAACCGAATAACGAAAAATCGAGAAATCGAAGCTCCCAAATTACAAAAAAAAATCGGATAACTGAAAAATCGAAACATCGAAAAACCGAGAAATCGAAAAATGAAAAGATCAAGAAGTCGTGGAGTCGAAAAGTCGAACAATTGAGAAACCGAAATAGGCCAAAATCGAAAAATCGAAAAGTTAAAAATTGAACAATTTATAAATTGAGAAATTGACAATCAAAATATCGAAAAATCCAAATCTCGATAAATCGAGAAATAAAAAAACTTAAAAATTCGAAAAATTGAAAAATTCAGAGGTTAAAAGATCAAAAGAACGTGAAATCGAAAAGTGATGAAGTCGAAAAATAGAGAAATCGGCAAACAAAAAGTTAAAAGTTGAAAAATTGCAACAGCGGAAAAATCAGAAAACGTAAAATTGGAAAACTGGAAAAACTGAAAAACCGAAATTGGCTAAAATAATAAATTGAAAAACTTATAATTCAAAAACCTGAACAATCAAATCTCGATAAATCGGGAATGAAAAATTAACGAATCGAAAAACTGAAAAACAGAACATCTAAAGCCAGAAAGTCAAAAAATCGAAAGAGTAACAAATATTGAAAAATTAAAATATCAAACATTGAAAAATCTAAAATTTTAAAATCGAAAAAGTAAAATAATCAACACATCGAAAAATCCAGGAGTCAAAAATCGAAAAGTCGAAGATCGAAATATTAAAAAATCCCAAAACTGAGATATCCAAAAACTGAAAAATGAAAGAAAAACTGAAAAATGGAAAACCTGAAAAATCCGAAAACTGAAATATCCAAAAAGTGAGAACCTAAAAAGTCGAAAAATTGAGCAATTGAAAAATCCAAAAAGTGAAGTCAAAAAATCGAAACCTTACAAAAACTAAAAAATGAAAAATCGAAAAATTGAAGAATTAAAGAACAGGTATATCGATTATCGAAACTCTCGAAAGTCAAGAAATGTGAAAATCAAAACATCGGTTAATTGAACAATTGAAAAATTGACAGTTTAAATGTCAAATTTGAAAAATTGAAAACTCGAAAATGTGAAAAAACGACAATTGAAAAACAGAAAATCTAAAACCGGGAAGTCGGAAAATCGATAGATTAAGAAATCAAAACATTTGAAAAATTCGAAAACATGAAAAACGGAAATATCGAAGAACTGAAATGAAAAATCGAGAAATCGAATAATCTAAAATTTTAAATATTGAAAAATTAAAATATCAAAAGATTGAAAAATTTAAAATTTAAAAATCCAAAAATTGAAAAATCGAAAAAGTAAAAAGGTAGACACATCGAAAAATCCAGAAGTCAAAAATAGAAAAGTCGAAGAATTGAAATATTGAAAAATCCTAAAACTGAAATACATATCTAAAAACTGAAAAATCGAACAATCAAAAAAGTGAAGTCGAAAAATAGAAACCTTGAAAGATCGAAAAATTGAAAAATCAAAAACCTGAAAAATCAAAAAATTAAAGAATTGAAGAATAGGAAAATCGAAACACTCGAAGGTCAAGAAATGGGAAAATCAAAACATCGATTAATTGAAAACTCGAAAAATTGAGAGTTTATAAAAGTCAAATTTGAAAAATTAAAAAATCGAAAATTTGACAAAATGACAATTGAAAAACAGAAAATCTAAAACCGGGAAGTCGAAAAATCAAAAAACTAATAAATCGAAACATTTGAAAAATTCGGAAACTTGGAAAAATTGAAATATCGAAGAACTGAAATGAAAAATCGAGAAATCGAAAAATCTAAAATTTTAAAAATTTAAGAATCTAAAATTTAAAAATCGAAAAATTGAAAAATCGAGAAAGTAAAAAAATCGACACATCGAAAAATCCAGGAGTCAAAAGTCGAAGAATCGAAATATTGAAAAATCCCAAAACTGAAATATCGAAAAACTGAAAAATGGAAAACCTGAAAAATCTGAAAACTGAAATATCCAAAAACTGAGAACCCAAAAAGTCGAAAAATTGAGCAAGCGAGAAATCCAAAAAGTGAACTTGAAAAATCGAAACCTAAAAAAAAACTAAAAAATGAAAAATCAAAAACCTGAAAAATCGAAAAATTGACAGTTTATAAATGTCAAATTTGAAAAATTCAAAAATCGAAAAATTGAGAGCTTATAAAAATCAAATTTGAAAAATTTAAAAATGGAAAATTTGACAAAATAACAATTGAAAAACAGAAGATCTAAAACCGGAAAGTCGAAAAATCGATAGATTAAGAAATCAAAACATTTGAAAAATTCGAAAACTTGACAAACTGAAATATCGAAGAACTAACTGAAATGAAAAATCGAGAAATCGGAAAATCTAAAATTTAAAAATCAAAAAATTGAAAAAACGACAATTGAAAAACAGAAAATCTAAAACCGGGAAATCGAAAAATCGAAACATTAAGAAATCGAAACATTTGAAAAATTGAAATATGGAAGAGATGAAATAAAATTCAGAAATCGAAAAATCTAAAATTTTAAATATTGAAAAATTAAAATACCAAAAATTGAGAAATCTATAATTTAAAAATCGGAAAAGTAAAAAGTCAAATATGGAAAAGCCGAAGAACACAAATATTGAAAAATCCCAAAACTGAAATATCGGAAAACTGAAAAATGAAAGAAAAACTGACGAATCGAAAAACTGAAAAATCCCAAAACTGAAAATCTAAAGAATCGAAAAATTGAGAATCAAAAAAGTGAAGTCGAAATATCGAAACGTCAAAAAAAATCGAAAAATTGAATAACAGGTAAACTGAAAAATCCCAAAACTGAAATGTCCAAAAACTAAGAAATTAAAAATTAAAAAAATTGAGAAATCGGAAAATCAAAAAAGTAAAGGTGAAAAATCGAAACCTGAAAAAATAGAAAAATTGAAAAACCAAAAAACCTGAAAAATCAATTAATTGAAAAATCGATGAATAAAGAGTTTATAAGAGTCAAGAATTGAAAAATTGAGAAATTGTAAAATCCAAAAATTGAAAAATAAAAGGAGTAAACTGAAAAATCCCCAAACTAAAATTTCGAAAAACTGAGAATTCGAAAGTTGAAACAGCAAGAAATTATGGTTGAAACCGGTTAGGATGTGTATCAGATCACGGATCATGGCTTATAAATCAAATCGTTTCCGAACGCTTAGAGTCGACATTGGCCTGAGTGCGCTCTGGTCTGTAGATCAAACAAGTTCTCAGACGACGAACTGTAATTCGTGTGATCTGAATTAAAGTGAAAGAAACAGTAAGCAGCTTGTAATATTTGGTAAATCTAGTGTCAATTTGTCGAAAGTAAAACGCGTCGTTAAAAATATTATGACATTTTTTCTAGTTAATTTTACTCCTAGTGAGAAACAAACAATGTTGCCAACATAAGTCGAGGAGTCCTCAACCGTCATTTAATTTAAACTATGACGCTTCGCCTATGTTCTCTGGTTGTGTTGTTCAAAGAATACCATGTATATTAAGAAAATAGACAAAATATAAACCCCGCCCACCCACCCCATCTCAATTGTGATGATTTTTTTTATTCTGATATAAGGATTTTGCAGTTAAATTCCGCTCCTTTGGCTTCTGACGATTAAAAAAAACATCACAATTGAGAGAGGGTGGGTGGGCGGGGCTTATATTTTGCCTTTTTTCTTAATATGTGTAGTCTTCTTTTCACAACAAGAAAAATAAAACATGTTTAAAATGGTACATTTTTGCAAGGAAATATGGATTTTGCAGTTATGGGGTGGAGTCTAATTGCAAACTCTATATTTCCTTGCAAAAATTAACCATTTTAACCATGTTCATGTTTAAGAAAAAAAAAAATGGACAATTTGTCTGCTGAATAAATTAATCATTATTATTATTTAATATAGGTGAGCGCTACATCACCGTATTCTTACATTTTCGAGAAAATAGAATGAACAAACATGTTTTTCGTTTTCTAGAAACCCTGGTGGAGCCTCTCGTCCAAGACTCATCGAAACAAACCTCCCATGCCGCCCAGACTTCGGACTTCATCGAGTTCATGGAAAACAACCAGATGATCCTAACCTGCCGCGAATGCGGCAAAGTCTTCACGACTCTCGAAGGCCTAAGAAGCCACAAACGCATCCACTTAGGTACGCTATTCAAGTGCAGATTCTGCGGCAAGGGCTACACCCGCCAGACCCACGTCTACCGCCACGAGCTGTCCCACGGCAAACACAAGCTCCACGTTTGTCGAATATGCAACAAGACGCTCACTCGGATGGAACACCTCAAGCGCCACCTGACGACGCACCTCAAAGAGAAACCGTTCTCTTGCAAATCGTGCAACAGGGGCTTCAATCGCTCGGATCACCTCGAGGTGCACGCTCTGAGGTGCAAGGGGGAACGGGTGCACATTTGTGATATTTGTAATAGAGGGTTTTCGAGAGAGGATAGTCTGGAAGTGCACAAGAGGCTGCACGAGAATCAAAAGCCGGCGCTGCCGACGTTAGATAATATAGATAATATAGAGGAGCACTATTACGAGATAGATTACGATCCGAATTTGGAGTACAATGCGGCGTCGGACGTTGATGATTACTTGGAGCCGCACGTGGAGGTGACTGAGAACTCGGACGAGGAGAAGATCAAGGCGGTTGCGGATTTGCAGAATGAGGATAGTCAGGAGAAGGAGGCGAGTGAGGATAATGTGGATATAAAGGAAATTTTGGAGTCGCAGGTGGATATCGAGATTAATGAGAACGACATCACTATTGACGAGGAGAAGAAGATTATAAGTAGTAATTATCAACACGAGGAGTATAACAATGAGCATGACGATGACGGGATTAATGACGGTAAGTCGAGGATTGGTGGAGTTTCACCGATTTTTGTATGAAATTAGTACAACCCGTGTTTTATCTTCTTACCATAAGCCGTAATATTATTCTTTGTTACGTATGTGCTCAATAGGTGGCCCCACAGATAAAAATTTTATGCGGAAGTTAGTTTTCAGTTTTTCACATAAACTGAGCATTTTAGACGAATTAGTGGTGGGTTCACTGACGTAAAATCCCGACGTGTTAACGAAATGCTCACTCATCCGTGCTGAACACATTTTTTTTATAATATATTTTGCTGTCTGAGAACAGTTCAATGAGCTACTTATTTTTAGCAGTGAGATGTAGACTTCTCCGCCTCCTCTCTGTAGGTTTTCATAAACCCATACCCACTTAGCTAGACTAAAAAAATTGGTCTAAAGAGTTTAGACAGTACTTCCCTCGCTGTCGGAAACTTGACGACTGCATGCCTATTGTGTTTTTTTTCTCATTACATTTTTGTAGTGGGAATTTAAAAAAAAATTGCGATGACGTCATCAACATTTTTGCAAGGACACGTATATCAGTTGGGATAGATGTAGTGTAATACTAAGAATAAAATTATTATATTCTCAAATTTTCGGGAAAATGAATATTGATTTGTAATAATCAATAAAATAACGAAACAATTTACTCACGTATACGTATCAGAGGCAACTGAAAATCGTGTATGTATAAACATTCTTAATTTAAGATGACAGGCGTAACAGCATACGTGAGAGTCAAACAGAGAAACTGTAAACAAAACGACCATCGGTTTTATTGCTTCGACTTCCGCTTATTATATAAAACATTGGGTTTTATTTTAATTCTTGACGGTGAAATTCACAATTGGTTGATTATAAACATGTCTATTTCACATTCGAGGAACCAAGTGAGCGCATAAAACAAATGCAGGTCTGTAATGTTAAAGTCGATGTAAATAAGCGTGCTGCCCTTATGTTTCAACCGAGTTTTTCCTTTAACAAATTTTGTGTCTACCAAATTGGGTTGGTTGGGGTGTAATACTAATAATAAGTGTTGCCTTTAATTTAATCAATAAAATAAATTGACTTCATTAATTTTTTTGAACCACCTCTTAAGAAAATCTAAAAAATATGAATGGAATGATAAATCACAAGTACAAACTCATCATATTTTTTGCATTTTAGATAAGATTTATTCAGCAAAATTTAAGGGTGACGTCATCAATTTTTTTAGGAGGGATGAACAAATACATTTTGAACAAAAGTTTACCATGCTTATAATAACTTTAAAATATTCCCAAGATTTCAAAGCATTCGGTTTTGTAATTCCTGATTAAATCGATAAAATAAATTCACGCCTTCATTAATTTTTTTGAGTCACCCTGCATATGCAAATCCAAAAATATGAATGGAATGATAAATCACAAGTACAGACTCATCATATTTTGAACATTTTAGATACGATTTATTCGGCAAACTTTTGAGCTGACGTCATCAGTTTTTTGTAGAAGATAACCAAATATATTTTGACTAAAAATTTATTATGCTCTTTATAACCTTAAAACATCTGCAAGATTTCAAAGCATTCTGGTTAGCAGATTAAAAATTAAATTTCAAAATGTTGTTTTATAATTTTGATTTTTTTCCAAAAATCTGGACGTTTCGGGTGAAAAGTCGATTCGGAGTTGTAAATTACATGTGTAGGACTATGTTATTTTATACAATTGAAAACCCATTTACTATGTACAATTTTGAAGTGACGTCATCGCATTAGTGGTGGGGATGATTAGACAAATTTTGATTAGCGTTTTACCATCTACATGATATTCTTAATATAAGTACAAAATTTCACAACAATCGGTCTAGTACTTTCGGAGATTATCTGTCTAATAAAAATCCGGGACGGCAGACGGACAGACGGACAGACGGACAGACAGACAGACAGACGGAAATGGGAGACCTATTTCTTCGTCTTCTAGGGGTCATGAAAGATCGAGAAAACGTAAAAGTAGAGAGTCGGCCGACGGACTCGATTACAATACTTCCTTTGCTTACGCTCGGGAAGTAAAAAGAACCAAAATTTTAGATTTTAGATGGAAATTAGTTTTTTTTAACTCTATTGACGATTTAAAATGGCATAAGACGAAACCTTGGAATTAAATGATTCAAAATTAATGTTTGTGTCCGTTTAAAAGATGAAATATTTCCCCAGTTATTACTTGTTTTTATGATTTTTGCTTCCTGGGCGTAAGTTAAGGAAATATCGGAACGAGTTTATCGGGGGACTGGCTACTATTATGTTTTCTCGTCGTTTCATGACTCCTAGACTACGAAAAAATAGGTCTTCCGTTTTCGTCTGCTGCCTGTCTCCTGCCAGAATTTGTATGAAACAAATTATCTCAGAAACTATTGGACTTGTCAAATTTAACATTACATACATGTCTTTACATCTTTATCATAAAAAAATTAAATTCGGAAAATCAAATCCGACAATATTCCGAAAAATCTGGATTTATTTACTTTCAACCAATTTTTTGATCACAATTTTTCGTTTTTCCTTTTCCTTCGATTTTACAATTTTTTAATATCAAAATTTTTCGTTGTTTCATTTTATTTGATTTTCAATTTTCACATCTTTACATGTTTCATAATTTGCCGTATTTTCAACTTTAATTTTTTCAGTTTTTTAATTCTTTAGTTTTTCGATTTGCAATTTTGCAATTGTGTAATTTTTCCATTTTTCAATTTTTCTGTATATCACAATTTTTCGTGCAGCCAGTTTTTCAAATTTTTAATCTTTGATTTTTTAATTTCTCGGTTTTCCAATTTAATTTTCAATATTTTGGTTTTTCGATTTTGCACTTTTTCAATTTTTAGTTCCTCAGTTTTTAATCTTTCACTTTTTCAGTTTTTCGTTTCTTCAATTTTTCAAGTTATTGGTTTCCAAGTTTTGAAAGTTTTCATTTGATACGTTTTGGTTTTTTCATTTTTTATTTTTCAGTTTTACAATTTTGGAATTTTTCCATTTTTTTTTAATTCGAAAAGTTGAAAAGTCGAAAAATTAAAAATAGAAAAACTGAAAAATTGCAAATCAAAAATTGTAGACGCGAAAAATTGAAAAATCAAGAAACTGAAATATCTAAAACTGAAAACCCAACAATTTTAAAAATCTAAAAGTTGAAAAAAGCAAAATTATAAAATTAGAACAGTGAAAACACAAATAATTTAAAAAAGTAATAAACGAAAAAGCCGAAACGAAAATTTGAAGAAATTAAATGTCGAAAAATTAAAAAATCGTAAAATTGAAAAAGTGATTTTTTTTAATTGTTATTATTACATATTTAAAATGAAAACTAAAAAATCGCAAACCAAAAATTGAGAACTCAAGTAACAGAAGAATCTAAAGTGGAAAAACAAAAAATTAAAAATCTAAACTTTGCTAAATCGAAAAGGGAAAAATTTCAAATCGAAATATAGAAAAATCCAAAAATTTAAAAAAAAAATAATTATAAAATCAGAACATTTAAAAACCAAAAAATTGAGAAAATAAAAACCGAACCGAAAAATCGAAAACTTAAAATTAAAACATCCAAAACTGTCGAAAAACTGAACACTTTTAAAATGAAAACTCGAGGTGTTGAATGTTGAAAAATTATAAAATTGGAACATTGAAAAATCGAAAAATCATAAAAATGAAAACAAAAGCCGAAAATTGGAAAATCAAAAAAATTAAGAAACAAAAAAAATTAAAAATGAAAAATCCCAATCGAAAAAACGAAAAATTGAAGATATTACAATTGAAAAACAAAAAAAACCCAAAAATTGAAAAAGTGAAAAAAATGAAAATTAGAAAAATTGCAAATCAAAAATTGAAGAAACAAAAAATTAAAAATCGGGAAACTGAAAATCGAAAATTTAAAAGATCTAGAAGTTGAAAAGTGGAAAAATTGAAAACCGAAAAACTATAACTCGAGAAATTGAAAAATGCAAAAACTGAAACATTTCACATTGAAAAAAGCAAAATTATAAAATCAGAACAGTGAAAGAACAAATAATTAAAAAAAAATAATAAACTAAAAAGCCGAAACGAAAAATTGCAATACGAAAACTTGAAGAAATTTTAAAATCTAATATGTAAGACAAACGGAAAAATTCGAAAATCGTAAAATTGAAAGAGTGATTTTTTTTAAATTGTAATTATTATTACATATTTAAAATGAAAACTAGAAAAATCGCAGATCAAAAATTGAGAAATCGAGTAATAGAAAAATCTAAAATGAAAAAACAAATTAAAAATCTAGTTGATGAATCGAAAAGGGAAAAATTTCAAATCGAAATATTGAAAAATTGAAAAAATGAAAAAAAGAATAATTATAAAATCAGAACATTGAAAAACCAAAAAATTGAGAAAATAAAAAATCGAAACGAAAAGTTGAAAACTTAAAATGAAAACAAAAGTTTTGAAATCGAAAAACTGAAAAATTTTAAAATGAAAACTCGATAAGTTGAATGTTGAAAAATTATAAAATCGGAACATTGAAAAATCGAAAAACGGAAGCGAAAAATTCAAAATTGAAAACTTGAGAAATTTTAAATCGAAAAATTGCAAAATCAAAAAACTGACGAAACAAAAAAAAAATGAAAAACCCCAATTCGAAAAAACGAAAAATTGAAGATATTACAATTGAAAAACAAAAAATATCCAAACAGTAAAAAACCGAATGTGTAAGTGAAAAAAAAAGAAAATTAACCGAAATGAAAAATTGCAAATCCAAAAATTGAAAAATTTTAAATCAAAAACCCAAGAAACTCAAATCGAGAAATTGAAGTTGAAAAATTGAAAAAAATGAAAAAAAATATTATTACATAATTGACAATGAAAACTAGAAAAATCGCAAATTAAAAATTGAAGACACCAAAAATTGAGAAACAGAAAAATGTAAAATTGATGAAACGAACAATTAAAAAATCTAACAGTTGACAAATGGAAAAATTGCAAATCAAAATTTTGTAAAAATCCATAAATTTAAAAAAGAATAATTATAAAATCAGAACATTGAAAAACCGAAAAATTGAAAAAATAAAGAAGATAAAAAGCCGAAAACGAAAAATTGAAAACTCCAGGAGTTGAATGTCGAAAAGTTATAAAATCGGAACATCGAAAAATCATAAAAATAAAGAAATTAAAAAAAGATTAAAAAATGAAAATTCCAAACAAAAAAATTGAAGAAACTAAATATTGAAGATATTAAGATTGAAAAAAACAAAAAATATCGAAACAGTGAAAACTCGAATATGTCATTGAAAAAAAAAGAAAATAAAACGAAATGAAAAAGTCCAATTCGAAAAACTGAAAAACTCAAAAGTTGGAAAATTGAATAACTGAAAAAATTTTTAAATTATTATTTTTATTACATATTTAAAATGAAAACTCGGAAAATCACAAATCAAAAATTGAAGAAACGAAAAATTGAGAAATCGAGTAACAGAAGAATCTAAAATGGAAAAAAGAAAAATTAAAAATATAAAAGTTGAGAAATCGAAAACGGAAAAATTTCAAATCGAAATACGGAAAAATCCAAAAATTAAAACATTGAAAAACCGAAAAATTAAAAAAATCGAGAAAATGAAACACTGCAATGAAAAATTGAAAAATCGAAAAATTGAAAACTTGAAAAAATCCAAAAATGGAAAATCGAAAAACTGAAAAATTTTAAAATGAAAACTCGAGGAGTTGAATGTCGAAAAATTATAAAATCGGAACATTGAATAATCGAAAAATCGTAAAAATGGTTAAAACAAAAACCGAAACGAAAAATTGAAAAATTCAAAATGGAGAACTTGGTAAATTTTAAATCGAAAAATTACAAAATCAAAGAATTCAAGAAACAAAAAAAATTAAAAAATGAAAAATCCCAAATCGAATAATCGAAGAAACGAAAAATTGAAAATATTAAACTAGAAAAAACAAAGAGTATATAAAACAGTGAAAAATCGAATGTTTAATTAAAAAAAAAGAAAAAAAACAAATGAAAAATTACAAATCGAGAAATTGAAAAACCCAAAAGTTGGAAAATCGAAAAAGTGAAAAATTTTTTAAATAAATATTATTATTACATATTTAAAATGAAAACTAGAAAAATCGCAACTCAAAAATTGAAGAAACGAAAAATTTAAAAATCAGAACATTGAAAAATCGAAACATTGAAAAAAGAAAGAAAATGAAAAACCGAAACAAAAAATTGCAAACTTAAAAATTGAAACATCCAAAAGTTGGAAAATCGAAAAACTGAAAAATTTAAAAATGAAATCTCGAAAAATTATAAAATTGTAACATTCAATATTGGGAAAATCGTAAAAATAAAAAACAAAAAACCATAAAGAAAAATTGAAAAATTAAAAAATGAAAATTTTAAATCGAAAAATTGGAAAATTAAAAAATTGTAGAAACACAAAAAAAATAAACAATGAAAATCCCAAATCGAATAAATTGAAGAAACTGAATATTGAAGATATTAAAATTGAAAAAACAAAAAATATCGAAACAGCGAAAAATCGACTACGTAATTGAAAAAAAAAAGGAAAGTAAAAAACCGAAATGAAAAATTAAAAATTTAAAAGCTGACAAATGGCACACAGAAAAATTGCAAATAGCAATATTGAAAAATCCAAGAATGGAAAAGATGAACAATTATAAAGTGAGAACATTAAAAAATCGAAATATTGAAAAAAGAACGAAAATAAAAAACCGAAACGAAAACTTAAAATTTAAAAATGAGAGCTCGAGGAGTTGAATGTCGAAAAATTATATTATATAAAATAAAAAATAAAGAAAACAGAAAATCGAAACTAAAAACTGAAAAATTAAAAATTGAAACATCGAGAAATTTTAAATCGAAAAATTGCAAAATCAAAAAATTGAAGAAACAAAAGTAATTAAAAAATGAAAAATCCCAATTCGAAAAATCAAAGGAACGAAAAATTGAAGTTATTAAAATTTAAAAAACAAAAAATCAAATATGTAATTGAAAAAAAAAAAATAAAAAACCGAAATGAAAATTGCAAATCGAAAAATTATAAATCGAAAACTCAAGAAACTCAAAACGAGAAATCGAAAAACCCAAAAGTTTGAAAATTGAAACATATTAAAAAAAAAAAATAGATAAGTTGCAAATTAAAAATTGAAGAAACGAAAAATTGAGATATGGGGAAACAAAATATTTTAAATTGAAAAAACGAAAAAATCGAAAAAATTAAAAAAGAATAATTATAAAATCAGGACATTGAAAAACCGAAAAATTGAAAAAATAATGAAAAAAAAAACTGAAAAATTTTAAAATGAAAATTCGGGGAGTTGACTGTCATAAAATCGTAAAAATAAAGAAATCAAAAAACCGAAAGGAAAAATTGAAAACTAGAGAAATTTTTAATCGAAAAATTGAAGATAGACATATTAAAATTAAAAAAACAAAAAAATTCGAAAAAGTGAAAAATCGAATTTGTAATAAAAAAAAAAGAAAAAATCGTAGCGAAAATTTGCAAATCGAAAAATTGGGAAATTGAAAAAACAAAAATTTGGAAAATTGAAAAACTGAAAAATTTAAACTGGAAAACTCAAAAAATTGCAAATCGAAAAGTTGAAGAAACAAAAAAAAAGAACAATTTTGGGCATTGAAAAATTCAAGTCAAAAAAGCTGTGGGAGCGTTATTTCTGCCACTCGTTTTTACTTTATATAGAGGATATGAGAAAACAAAAATCACAAAAAACACATATTTTTCAAAGAAGCGGGATTTTTTGGGCTGCACTTCAGGGGCGGGGGAAGTTCTGTTGAAATAACCTTCGACCATTTTTTTTTTAATAATACCTTATACATTTTGTACACATTTTTGTAGTTTTTTTTCTGAATTCATCGATGTGTCAATCATATTTTGCTGAAAAGTTGTGATGAAAATTAATTTAATTTTTGTGTCAAAATGGCTGTTGGATTATTAACGGAATTATTTGGGTAGACAAATGTAGTATTTAAAAAAGTTAAAAATAATAAAAGAAAAAAATATTCAAGTATAATACATAAAAGGATAAAAAAAATCACTGCATGAATCTCAAAAAAATAGGGTGTTTAAAAAAAAATGATTGCCGTCTAACAGCAGTGAAACAAAGCAAAACTTAGCGTGATAATAAACATCTACCACATTGTCATTTCTTTGACAGTTGCAGACAATGATTCCGACAGCGCCCACTCCGAGTACCTCCCCACGAAAACCAGCCCGCCCAAGAAACGAGGTCGCGGTCGACCTCGAAAGCACCCCGGAGGCTACAAAAGCACCGGCAGACCCAGAGGTCGCCCTCCCAGCCTGAAAAAGAACAAAAAGGAGCCCATCGACCGGGAAGAAATCGAAGGGGAGTTCCCGTGTTCGAGTTGTAGTGAAGTTTTCAGTAAGCTAAGTCTGTTAGAAAAGCACGCGAAATCACACGAAGGCATGAAAGTGCACACGTGTAAAGTTTGCAATAAGGAATTCGCTAGGTTTAATCATCTCAAAAGACACATGACTTCGCATTCTGTCGTTCGGCCGTTTTCGTGTGACGTGTGTAGTAAGAGGTTTTCGCGAAGGGACCACTTACAACAGCATGTGAGGCTGCACGACAAGAAGCAGGAGTACCAGTGTGAAGTTTGCTGCAAGATGTTCCACAGGGCGGACCAACTGGCCAAGCATAAAGTCTCGAAACACAATATCGGAGAGAAGGTACGACCGATTTTGTAGCTAGTTTGTGGTGATAGAGATTAATTTCCAGATCTTGGGCGAGAAGAAATTCGAGTGTCACGTTTGCCTGAAGACCTTCACCACGGAGAAGTACCGGGACGTCCACGTCAAGGGCCACATGGGCGAAAAACGTTACCAGTGCAAGACCTGCGACAAGTGTTTCCTGTCGAAGTCGCACCTCACAGAACACATGAAGTTCCACAACGAGCACTCGAAGAAGTTCTTGTGCTCAGAATGCGGGCAGAGGTTCATCAGGAACGATTACCTGGTGATACACATGAGGAGGCATCGTGGAGAGAAACCGTTCAAGTGTAAATACTGCGGCAAAGGGTTTCCGAGGACGACCGATCTTACAGTACACGAGAGGTACCATACCGGGGAGAAGACGCACTTGTGTACGATATGCGGGCGAGGGTTCGGAAGGTACGTTGTGGTCGCGTTTGGCGTACATCTTGGTAAAGTGAGGGTGTTTTAGGGCGTACAATTTGACGGTTCATATGCGAACTCACACGGGTGAAAAGCCTTACAGGTGTACGTACTGTGAGGCCGCTTTTGCTCAAGGTAATGATCTCAAGGCGCATGTGCGAAGACATACGGGGGAGAGGTTCCAATGCGAATTGTGTACGGAGAGTTTTCTTATGGGGTATTTGCTGACGCAGCATAAGAGGACTGTTCACGGTAGGTTTACATTTCAGTTATACGTATCCGTAGGTATCGCTTTAAACAAGTTATATGTGATCTTCGGTCGACTTCGGTTCCCGATTTTCTAGTCGTAATTGTGCACGACTAATAAAGTTTTTGGTAATTTTGTAAATTAATATAAAGCTATTTAATTCAAGTCATTGATCATAATAATTTCAGTTATACTAATAAATTAATGTTTATTATTTTTATCCAATAGGTTGTAATTTTTTAAACGCATTTAGATTTGTGAGCAATAATAAACTTGACAATTTTTGGTTAAAACGTTTAACTCATTGCACAAAAATTTCATAATGCGGTATAAAAATGAGATATTTGTCATTAATTTCTTTTTTCTGTTAATTTTGAATAAATACAAAGAAAACAAAGAGTCACTTCAAACTGCAGTATTCTGAAAAACATTGAAAAAAAAAAGCAAAATGTAGTAGAAAAATCTGAACTGCAGATGCACTTCCTGTTAATTTATACAAACTATTTTAATAACATTTTTGCATCAACAACAATCACTTAAATTACCTCAGATGTACAAATAACTAACATCTTATGTACTTTCATTTGTGATTTCGAAATTACTACTTACATATTGTAAAATCTATGACTGTGGAAAAAGGAACAATTAATTAATTCTATTTTTCTGCACATTTCTTTGATAATAATAATGGTTATATTATATTTTATACTCAGTAAAAGGGTAAAAGAACATAATAAAATACATGATTTAAATCCAACAAAGGTTTAATTCTTGTTGTCATAACATAAAATAGCTTTTTAAGTCAGCCACAGATAACCCATTTTTAGGTTATGTTGTCAAATGATGTGAAATTTTTTTTTGTTGTGCCAACAAATTCTTGGGTAACTATATCACAAATTTAAAAAAATCACCCAATACTGCATAATGTACTTATTGTTACTACAAAAATCGTCACGGGAATAATTTTGTACCTGAGAGCAAAAAGTAACTTCATTTAACGTAATCTATAAAATGACGTCCTATAAATGTGTTTTGACATTCTATAATTTTTATTTGTTTGACTTCGACATCCAACTTTTTTTATGACGCTGTATATATTTTTTCCAGATTCTTGTAGACCTTGCTTTTCTTTATTCGTTAATGTATTATGCTTTAATCACCCATACCCCGCCACTATCTGATTCGAGCACATTATGTTATGAAAACACACTCGTCTATATTTGGTCTGGAGTGACCATACTAGAAAACGGATTAACAATTGATCCAAAAATATGAATGCATTGATAAAGGTATAGTTTCCCCAGTTCCTTAACAATAGATTACTACTACCATTATACAGAATAATGATTAAATCCTTATTTATGACTGTCCCATCACCAGTAGTAGTAATCTAATGTTAAGGAAGTTAACTTTTATACAATGCGGTACTCTCATAAAACCGAATTAGAACTGGGGAAACTATATGTCTGTGTCAGTGCAGTAAATTGCAAAATGTTATACCGTTTTGTTTTTTGTTTTTTTTCCAAAAATCACGATATCTAGAAAAATAGAAATCGAAAAATTGAAACACTGGAATATCGAGAAACTGAGAAATGAAAAAAATTAAAAATCGTAAAATTTTTTTTCCCAAAAATCACGATATCTAGAAAAATAGAAATCGAAAAATTGAAACACTGGAATATCGAGAAACTGAGAAATGAAAAAAAAAATAAAAATCGTAAAATTGAAGAATCGAAAAACTGAAAAATCGAAAGATCGAACAGTCGAAACATTCGAAAATTGGAAAATGGACAAATTAAAAGATGGAAAGTTTGAAAAATCGAAAACTTGGAATAAAAGTCGAAAATTCGAAAATGTAGAGATGTCAAAAACCGAAAAATGGAAAAATTGAAAGATCTAAAAATGGAAAATTTAAAAACTTTAAAAAATGATAAAGCAAAAAATAGAAAATTTAAAAATTCGAAAAATTGAAAAATAGTCAAAATACCGAAAATTCGAAAAACAAGAAATATCAAAAAAAAAACTGAGAAATGGAGGAATCGCAAAATTAAGAAATCAGAAAACTGAAAAATCGAATGAATTAAAAACCGAAAAATTGAAAAATCGCATAATCAGAAATTTTAACAATCGAGAAATCTAGAAATCCAAAAATCTGCATTTTAAAAATTGCAAAATCAAACTATCGAAAATTGAAAAATATAAAATTAAAAAACAGTAGGATTTCGAGTAATTGGAAAATTGAAAAGTCCAAAAAATTGGTAATTTGAAGATTCGAAATATCGAAAAATCCCAAAATTGAAATGACGACCTTTTGGGATAGAAAAACTGGAAAATCGAAAAATTCAAAAGACAAGATCGAGAAGTCGAAAAGTCTAAAAAATGAAAAATGGAAATATGTAGATCAAAATCCAAAATTCGAAAAGTTAAAAACTGAGAAATTTAAAATAAAAGAGCGATAAATAGAGAAATTGAAAAATTTGAAAAACGAGAATTTGAATAATCAAAAATTCGAAACGTGGAAATCTCAATAAATCAGAAATCGAAAAACTGAAAAATCTAAAACCGAGAAATCAAAAAATCGAAACTTCAAAAATGAAAAATTGATAAACCAAAAATTAAGAAATCGAAACAGTAAAATTTCAAGAAATTGGACAATCGAAAAATCGAAAAAATTGTTAAATTGAATATTCAAAATTTTGAAATTCCCAAAATTGAAATAACGAAATTCTGGAAAATAAAAAATTCGAAAATCCAAAAAGTCGAAAAATTCAAAAACTGAAATATTGGGGATGCATAACATCAAAAGATCGAGAAATCGAGAACTCGAAAAATCGAGAGATTGAAAAATGAAAATAGACCAAAATCCAAAAATCGAAAAGTTGAAAACTGAAAAATTGAAAAGTTTTAAATGAAATGAAAATCGATAAATAAAAAAACTTTGAAAAAGGAGAATTTGAACAATTAAAAAATCGAAACATCGAAATCTCAATAAATCAGAATTCGAAAAAGAGAAATCTAAAACTGAAAAGTCAAAAAAATTGGTCTAAAGAGTTTAGATAGTACTCCCCTCGCTGTCGGAAACGTGACGACTGCATGTCTATTATGTTTTTTTTTCGCAGTAAATTTCATTTTTTTTTGAGTCACCCGGTATATGCAAATTCAAAAAATATGAATGGAATGATAAATTACAAGTACAGACTCATCATATTTTGTATATTCTAGATAGGATTTATTCGGCAAACTTTTGAGCTGACGTCATCAGTTTTTTGTAGAACATTACCAAATATATTTTGACTAAAAATTTATTATGCTCTTTATAACCTTAAAACATTTGCAAGATTTCAAAACATTCGGTTCTGGAGTTCCTGATTAAATCAATAAAATACATTTACCCATTAATTATTTTTTTTAGGTCACCCTGTATATGCAAATCCAAAAACTATGAATGGAGTGATAAATCACAAGAAAAGACTCATTATATTTTGTACATTTTAGATAGGATTTATTTAGCAAAATTTTCTGGTGACGTCATAAATTTTTTAGGGGGGATCAGCAAATACATTTTGAGTAAAGATTTATGATGCTCTTTATAGCCTTAAAACATCTGCAACATTTCAAAACATTCGGATTAGATTAAAACTGAAAAATCGAAAGATCGAACAGTCGAACCATCGGAAAATTGGAAAATCGACAAATTAAAATATCGAAAGTTTGAAAATGCAGAATTTAAAAAGTTCCCAAAATTGAAATGTTGAAAAATTGAGAAGTCGAAAACTTGAAATTCAGAAATCAGAAAGAAAAAATGTAAAAATCGAAAAATGGAAAAATTGAAGGATCTAAAAATATAAAATTTAAAAACTTGAAAAAAGCAAAAAAGCAAAAAATGCAAAATATAAAAATTCGAAAAATTGGAAAATAGAAAAGTCGAGAAATCCAAAACCTGAGAAAATCCAAAATTTTAAAAACCGAAAAATCCAGAAATTTTGAAATCTGCATTTTAAAAATTGCAAAATCAAACGTTTGAAAAACAGAAAAATCGAGAAATAGAAACAGTAGGATTTCGAGAAATTGGAAAATCCCAAAATTGAAGTGACAACGTTTTGAAAAATAAAGTATTGGAACATGGAAAAATTCAAAAACTGAAACATTGAGGAAGCGAAACATCAAAAGATCAATAAATCGAGAAGTCGAAAAATCGGAAAATTGAAAAATGGAAATGGCGCAAATCCAAAAATGGAAAAGTTAAAAACGAAAAAATTTTAAATAAAAAAAATCGATAAATAGAAAAATTGAAAAATTTGAAAAACGAGAATTTGAACAATCAAAAAATTGGAGCATCGAAATCTCAATAAATCAGAATTAGAAAAACTGAAAAATCTAAAACCGAGTCAAAAAATCGAAAAATTGAAAAATCGAAAAGTACAAAAAATGAATAAATTGAAAATTCGAAATATCGAAAAATCCCAAAATTTCATTTCAATTTTGGGATTTTTCCATATTTCAAATTTTCAGTTTATTAATTTTTTTGTACTTTTCGAAAAAACCCAAAATTGAAATGCAAAAAAGTCGAAAAATTCAAAAACAGGAAGCGAAACATCAAAAGATCGAGAAATTTAAAAATGGAATTAGGCCAAAATCTAAAAATCAGAAAGTTAAAACTGAAAAATTTATAAGTTTAAAACTAGTAAAAAGAAAATCGGTAAATAGAACAATTGAAAAAATTCGAAAGACGAGAATTTGAACAACCACGAAAGATTGAAGTTTCACTAAATCAGAAATCGAAAAACTGAAAAGCTAAAACTGAGAAGTCAAAAAATCGAAAAAACGAAAAATCTAAAAGTAAAAAGTCGAAAAAGTAAAATTTCGAGAAATTGGGGAATCGAAAAGTCCAAAAAATTAATAAATTGAAACACCAAGAAAGCGAAACGCCAAAAGATCGAGAAATCGAAAAGTAGAAAAATCGAAGAGTTAAAAACTGAAAAATTTAAAAATAACACGATTAATAGAAAATTTGAAAAACGAGAATTTGAATAATCAAAAAATCTAAAAGTAAAAAATCGAAAAAGTAAGATTTCGAGAAATTGGAAAATCGAAAATTCCAAAAAATTAATAAATTGAAAATTTAAAACATCGACAAATTGAAAAGCCAAAATGTCGAAAAATTCAAGAATTAAAACTTTTCATAACTTTTCAATAAATCAGAAATCGAAAAAGTGAAAAATCTAAAACAGAGAAGTCGAAAGATCGAGACTTCGAAACATCAAAAAAAGGAAAATTTAAAAGTCTAAAAGTAAAAAAATCGAAAAAGTGAGATTTCGACAAATTATAAAATCGAAAAGTCCAAAAACTTTATAAATTGAAAGAGAAACAAAAAAATCGAAAAATGGAAAAATTGAAAGATCTAAAAATGGAAAATTTAAAAACTTTAAATCAAAAAAGCAAAAAATACAAAATTTAAAAAATCGGAAAGCTGAAAAATTGAAAGATTTAAAAACCGAAAAACTGAAAAATCGAAGAATCAAAAATTTGAAAAATCGAATCGAAAAGTCGAGAAATCCAAACATCAAAAAGACTAAATTCAAAAATCTAAAATCGAAAAAGTAAGATTTCGAAAAACAAGTATATCGAAAAGTCAAAAAAATTGCTAAATTGGAGATTCGAAATATCGAAAAACCCCAAAATTCAAAAGGGAAAAAATAACAATTGTAAAATGGAATAATTGAAAAGTAAAAAAGTCGAAAAATTCAAAAACTGAACGATCGAAAGGTTCGACAAATCGAAAAATTGAAAAATGGAAATAGGCCAAAATCCAAAAATTTATAAATAGAAAAATTAAAAATTTTTAAAAACGAGAATTTAAACAGTCAAAAAATTGAAATTTCGAAATCTAAATAAATCAGAATTCGAGAACTGAAAAATCTAAAACTGAGAGTCAAAAAATCGAAAGATCGAGACAAAAAAATTAAGAAATTGAAGATTCGAAAGATCGAAAAATCCCAAAATTGGAATGGCGAAATTTTGAGAAATAAAAAATTGGAAAATTGAAAAGCCGAAGAAGTGAAACATTGAAACATCGAAGAAGGGAAACATCAAAAGATCGAGAAAAGGAGAATTTGAAAAATCGAAAAAATGAAAATTTTAAATAAAAAGAAAATCGATAAATACACAAATTAAAAAAAAAATAAAAACGAGAATTTGAATAATCAAAAAATCGAGAAACCGAAAAAGTAAAAAATCGAGAATTTGGAAAATCGAAAAGTCCAAAAAATTCATAAATAAACCAAAAAGTCGAAGAATTCAAAAACTGAAACATCAAAGAAGCGATCAAAAAACCGAGAAATCGGAAAATTGAAAAATTTGAAAAACGAGAATTTGAGCAATTAAAAATCGAAGTACCGAAATTTCATAAATCAGAATTCGAAAAACTGAACAATCTAAAACGGAAAAGTCAAAAAATTGAAATATTAAAAAAACGAAAAATCGAAAAAGTAAGATTACGTGAAATTGGAAAATCGAAAAATTGAAAAGCCAAAAAGTCGAAAAATTCAAAAACTGAAACATCGAGGAAGCGAAACATCAAAAGATCGAGAAATCGAAAAATGGGAATAGGCCAAAAATCGAAAAGTTAAAAACTGAAAAAATTTAAATAAAAAGAAAATCGATAAATAGAAAATTTGAAAAATTTGAAAAACGAGAATTTGTACAATCAAAAAATCCAAACATCGACATCTCAATAAATCAGAAATCGAAAAAGTGAAAAATCTAAAACAGAGAAGTCGAAAGATCGAGAAATCGAAACATCAAAAAAACGAATAATTCAAAAGTCTAAATGTAAAAAATCGAAAAAGTGAAATTTCGACAAATTAGAGAATTGAAAAGTCCAAATACTTAATAAATTGAAGATTCGAAATATCGAAAAGTCCCAAAATTGAAATGACAAAATTTTGGGAAATCAAAAATTGGAAAATCGAAAAATTGAAAAATGGAAATGTAGCAAAATCCAAAAATCGAAAAGTTTAAAACTAAAAAATTAAAAAAAAAGAGAATATCAATAAATAGAAAAATTGAAAAATTTGAAAAACGAAAATTTGAACAATCGAAAAATCCAAACATCGAAATCTCAATTGAAGATTCGAAATATCCCAAAATTGAAATGACTAATTTTTGGGAAATTAATAATTAGAAAATCGAAAATTTGAAAAACCAAAAAGTCGAAAAATTCAAAAACTGAAATATCGAGGAAGCGAAACATCAAAAGATCGAGAAATCGGGAAGTCGAAAAATTGAAAAATGGAAATAAGGCCAAAATCCAAAAGTCAAAAAGTTAAAAATAAAAAAATTTGAAAAACGAGAATTTGAACAATCAAAAATCGAAAAACGGAAAATTGTAAAACCGAGAAGTCGAAAATCGGAGATTTAAAAATTCGGAAAAATATAAATATCGAAGAATTGAAAAATCGAAGTCGAAAAATCTGAAATTTTAAAAACTGGAAATAAAAAAATATTGAAAAATCGGAAAAACGAATCATTAAGAAATCGAAAACGTAAAAAATCAACACGGATTCATAAACTACAAGTTCAGGACTATGTTACTTTTAACATTCAAAACATTTATTCTACAAAATTGTGAAACATCATCAATTCCAGGGTGGACATGAACGGATACATTTTTAACTATTCACCATGCTTCCGGTAACCTTAAAACTTTTGCAAGATTTCCAAGCAACCGATTGTTTAAATTTAAAGTTAAATTGTAAACTGTTGGTATACACTTTTTATTATCATTTTTATTTCGATGTCAAAGGTAAAACAGATTCATAAACCACAAATGGAGGAGTACGTTTTTTTTATAAAATTTGAATAACATTTACTATTGTAAAATTTGTAGATGATTTCATTTTTGATGGGGATAAACAGACAAATTTTGCATGATATCCCTAACATACGCACAAAATTTGACAACAATTGGTCCGATAGTTTCAGAGATTATCTGTGTAACCAGTCGCTCGATGGCTGTGATTTTCGACTTTACTTACTGTTTGCTCTCAGGTACAGAGTTATAATATAATAAAGGTTGCAGATTGTTCTTAATTAATATTATAAATAAAATTAGTTCAAAGTTATTTCGACAAGAAAGACACGTGTGTCAATTCCAACATGTACAGTGTAATACTAATTGTAAAACACTGGAGCTGTTCTGGAGATTTAATCAATAAAACAAATTGATAATAATAAGAGTCACCGTTTAAGATGTATCGAATTATAAATATTTGCCACTAAACTAGTTTCAAATTAAAAAATGTCACTCTGACCCCGTTGAATTATTTCTCCACAAGAGTTTTATTCTGTACTCATTATTCATTCTAACACTACAAGCAGTAGATAGCAAAAAAGGAGCATAAGCAAGCGCATATTCATTAAAACATACGTGTAAAATTTTGTCGTTACTATTCCCAACCCCATGTATGCGATGCGGATGCTGCTGATTAAATTTCAAGCTGCCAACATAATGAACGACAATGCTTGTTTAGAATTCTGTCGCCGATTTCCACTGGACGAAACAAAACGATCTAACAAACTTCCGTTTTCTTTTCAGGTTTGAACGTAGTAAGTAACATTCGCCGCCTCCAGCCCGTGAACAAAATCAAACAGGACACGGACGACCCGCCTCCGATCACAATTCCGTTGCCTAAACCAGTAGTACCTGATATTCTCTTAAGTAACATTCAGGCCCATTTATCGGCACAAATGCAGCACCACCCCCATCCGTTAGCCAGAGAATAACGTCTAAAGGTACTATTGAAATCGTTATTTGTTATTTTCTCCTTAAGCGAAGTTTTCTTTCAGATTAAATTAAAAATGTACATATAACTAGCTGTAAGTAGTGTAGATACCGTTTACTTGTTCATATTTTCATTTAAAGTTTTCTCACTCGGTCTTTCAGTAATTTACGTTTTGATTTTGTAGAATTTTAGTTTTTCGTTACGGATTTACACTGACAAGACAGATTTCAGGTTATTTTTGTTAGTGAGTAAGTTTTTGTGGAAATTCGTTCCGGTTCTAGTGCGTACGAAAGAATTTTTGACCGTAGCGTAGAAGAGAACCGTGTCCGGCATTGCTATTTCAGATTTAGGGCCTACTTTTGGAGTACAATGTAAAGGCGACAAATCAAATTTTATTGCATACCTAATCTTTGTATTCTTTCTTGTTTTACGATGTTTCTCATTTAGACTGTAAAAAGCGCCGCCATTTTGTAATTTACTTTGGTAGATTGTAAATATATTTTTACATTATCGAAAATAAAAAATTGGGTGTATTTTGCTTATTATTTTCCTCTGTCCACTTTTATGTACTCTACAACGATAATTGTATTTCTGTATTTGGACTAATCTTACAAATTGTATATAAATGTGGTTATGTTTGTTTTTTAACCTAAACATGACACAATTATAGGTGAATTCTAATGTACTACAGTATTTACCATTAAAATATGTTAGAGTTAAAATACTTTAAGAAGAACACCACTACAAGATCGCAGTAGATGTAGAACCTATCGTTGTTTCATGGTTTATGAATATTTTTTAGAATTCCATTATTGCAGAATGTAAATGTCACTGGCCAAGAGCAGTGGCAGTAAATGACATATTGTGTTCTCAAAATATAACCTCCCTATTTACAACTTAAGCCAGGTGTGTTGCCATTTAATTTAAAATTCATCATAATGCACAACCTGTGATCATGAATAGGTAATAATTAATAATTCACTACTAAAAGATAAGAGAAAAAAAAGTGACACACGGGTCCATTCCAAGTTAGATTTGCGATATCGCAAGTCCTCGTCGTAATCGTTGTCGCATGTTCCATAGCCATTTTAAATTTTGAATATTGTTTTCGAGTTTTTTTACGTCTGTCACTTCGGACGTTTTATTTTAACACATAAAAAATGTGGTGGGCAAACCTAAAATGAAATATTCGTGAATTCCCGGTCAGCGACGCTAATTACGTCTCCTGGTTTTGATCTGTTTATAACCTGTGTAATTAATAAAAGAAGACTCGGATCAAATGTCATCTATAAATTTTGTTGTTAGTTGTCATTTGTAAACAAAATCCCTAAATTAACTAGAATGATTTTCATAGTGTACTGTAGAGGTGCTAGATGTTCGAGTACGTTTAAAGTTGCTAGATTAGATACTTACTTATCTAGTGACTTTAGAGTAGGTTCTTCCATGGAGCTACGCGATTCCAACCCACTAGTGTATCAAACCTATACAGCCTGTTATTGAAAGGTACGTACAAAATAAACTCGGCAATTGGTCTCGAAGTATAGGTGCTAAAAGTTAAAAAAAGTTCAGGTAAAAGTGTTTACAGTTGCTAGGATTTACTAAAATAAATTAATTTTACCTATTTATCCTTCAGTAGCGTCTAAAAAGATTGGATAAGGGTTAATTTTCCCCTTAAAATTTTGATAAGACAAAATAAGTTTTTCCGACTTCTTAGACTTCGCGAAGAACTGTCCATTTTGTTGTACGTACCTTTCAATAACATCCTGTATATGTAATACCACCATAGATTAATATAGATGCGACATACAGGTTGATTTTGCAAAACCACCCTTATTGACATTGGAGTCCTCATGCGCCAAATTTAAATAGTCGATCCCAATGAAAAAACTTGTTTCACTACAACTCTTCGCCTGAGAACTTGTTTGATCTACAGGCCAGAGCGCGCTCAGGCCAATGTCGACTCTAAGCGTTTAGAACCGATTTGGTTGGTTTGGACTATAATTTCTGCAGGAAATAGTTGTTTGATCGTTTTTTATAACGACTAAGTGAATATTTTTGGTCCATATTTAGATGATTTTACATATTTACATGATTTAACTAAGACTTAATTTTTTATTTGTGTTTTATACTAGCAAAACGTCTTAAACTAAGAATATTGTTGAAATCGTAATAACCCAATGGATTTTTTCGGGAAAATGTTTTGAACACCGAGAAATTGTGTAATTGTAAAATCCAAAAATTGAATAATAAATAGGAGTAAACTGAAAAGTCCCCAAACTAAAATTTCGAAAAATTGAGAATTCGAAAGTTGGAACAGCAAGAAATTATGGTCGAAACCGGTTAGGACGTGTATCAGATCACGGATCATGGCTTATAAATCAAATCGTTTCCGAACGCTTAGAGTCGACATTGGCCTGACTGCGCTCTGGTCCGTACATCAAACAAGTTCTCAGACGGTGAACTGTAATTCGTGTGACCTGAATTAAAGTGAAGAAAACAGTAAGCAGCTTGTAATATTCTGGTAAATCTAGTGTTAATTTGTCGAAAGTAAAACGCGTCGTTAAAAATATTAGGTCATGTTTTCAATTGTAGTTAATTTTATTCCTAGTTAGAAACAAACACTGTTGCCAACATAAGTCGAGGAGTCCTCAACCAAGAATATCATACAGTAAGGACAGCTTTTGAAAGCCCCATAAGAAATACACGTAACGAACTAGAACAACAATAATCGACAGTTGGGTAAGGACATGACCTTGAATTTTGGCTTGAAACTGTAGTGGCGAACCTTGTTACTAAATAAAATTTACCACCCTGTCAACATTGTGCGTCATATTTGACATTTTAGATGTTCGGTATTTAATATTGTAACTGTGATTTATTATTTTTACTGAATAGAAAATGCGCGTTCGAACAAATAAATAGAATAAATAATCTTGTGGAAACTGTACACAGGGCACAGGGGTGCAGTATGCTGGTATGGACACAGTTACGAGGGCTGCTTTTATATATCGGCCACATGAAGGTAAAATTGAGTTGGTAGAAAATAATGAAGCAAATCGTTGTTCTAGGGCTGCAACATAAAAGGTGAATGCTTCATGTAGCATCTTAAGCCCGCCACTCACGTTCCAACGCCGCAGTACAATTGTGTTGGATACGACGAAATTGAAGTATTTTTGAACGTCTGTGTATGCGATCAAGTAAATTGGTTGGCTGTGTACGGTTGGTGAACAAGTCTGCCTGCAGCAGTACAATCGTGTTGTATTGAATGGAAATTTGATCATGTGTGGACATGACTCGACAGTGTATGTTATTCAAACCGTGAGAGCAACTATAAAAGTACATTTTCGTCATTTCGTCGGACATGTTGTCATCACGATCGCAAATTTTTAACTGCAAGGTTGTAACGTGTGTGTGTACTGCTGCTTTTTAACAGAATTGTACAACAGTTGCATCCAATACAATCGTACTGCAGCGTTGGAACGTGAATTGCCAGCTTGAGGATTACCAAATGTTGGATCATCATCAAAGGCGTTGAAGTGACAGAGAAGTTTATCATATATGATGACATTACGTGCAACGGCAAAATAACTACATGTTTCTCAGGTATATTTCATCCAGCATTTCTTCATTAAGTATCCACAGACATAACTTAAAGAAATTTGTTCCTCCATGTCCAGATGTCTGTAGTCTGTCATATTTACTTCCATAGATTTATGTGCAAAAGTTGTTCAGCTTAAAACTGTATTAATAATTTGACACTGGTTACTTTCTTTAGATTCAATTGCTAGTAAAATAGATCCTAAATCATTACAACTATTGGAATTTTCACTGTGTTGTAAAAATTGCATACCAAATAATTTTTTATTGATTATAGAATAATATAATTCTTTATATTTCTTATCTTACAGATTCCAAGGGAAATTTAAAGAAGCCCCTGAAGCAGGTTTTTTCATTGTGCCTGCAATCACGAGGTGGTCTACCACTGTAGTTCATGTTACTATGAAAAGGTTCTCAGAATCACTTCACTAATTTAACTAACAACAAAAATTCAACCAAAAACATCAAAGTACTTTTCCCAAGGAAGATGAAAACAACAGCGTTCACTTTCTGACTCTTCAAACGGTTCACACTTGGCGAAAATTGAAGGTAGTTGATACGTTTATGTTGAAATTAACTCGGTAAAGTGACTTTTATTAATGAATAAAATAAATATAAGCACAATTCTTTTTTATTGTTCAAAGTGGTATTTTCTTCGTAGTCTTCATACAACACTCCAAAAAATGGTTTCAGTTTATTAATATTCATCCGATGTTTATATCAGTTCCTTTTACATTGTTTGACGGACGAGCTGTATTTGTAATTTAGGCAACCAATATTCCACTTCGTTTCAAAAATCCCGCCTAATCAAAACGGTTGGGTAAGGACACGTTGTTCCAATATTTGACGAGCTGTCTCTACTGTATGATATACTGTGCCTCAACCGTCATTTAATTTAAACTATGACGCTTCTCTATGTTCTTTGGTAATACCATAGTTTAATCTAGATGCGTTAGACTGCTGGCAAAATCACCCTTATTGACGTTGGAGTCTTCAACCGCCGAACACAGGCGAACTTTCTAGTTTTAATATAAATTTTGAGATCATATTTGGTTATAACAAGACAATTTTTGTGTAGTACACGTGTAATTATAAATCTAACTTTCTTTGGAATTGTCGATTTGTCAAAAGTAAAAAGCGTCCTTAAACCGTCTTCTGATTTAAACTACAACGTTTCTCTATGTTCTCTGGTAATACTATTGTTAGTATTAGATCTAATACTACTATAGGCCCTATTGTTGAGAATCCACTTTGTCTTCCTATCCAGGGAGTAGCATTGAAAAATATTCGTAAGTTAGCGTTGTTTCCAGCATTAGTTGCCCCCCTTTTTTTTAAGAGACTATCGGGTGCTCAACTGAAAAAATCATCAAGTTAGTTTTCCTCTTTTGATAGAAGAAAAACATAGCGAAAAACGCATGTGTTTTATTAATCCATAATGTTCGGTATAATTCACATTTCCGCGATGTTAGCTGTCATCAATACATATTTTATCTATACTTTACAATGTTTACAAAAGATCAAGACCAGTTTGATGAATTCTCCAACTAAACATTCGGTATTTAAAAATTTGACTGAAATGACGTCATCAATTGTTAGGGAGGGATGCCATCAGTCAGTTTTTTTTAAAGTTCTGTAGTTCATTTAGCATTGAATTTTAGTATCTGCTGCCTGATATCTAAGTACACTAAACTATAAGATCATTTACAAGAACTTCGCCGCAAAACAAGTCGAAACGCAACCAACAATACAATTTATAAAACCTTTGAAACTATAGTCATCCACAAACTAAAGGTAACTTTCATCCATGTTTGTTCATATTCATTATTTAAAAAAAAAAAATGCCTAATTTTACCACATTAAAACAATTTATGAAAAATTGTAGATTAAAATGTGGTCACCGAATTTGAATTAAAAATTTTGTGCTGAAAAAAAATTAACTGCAGCGCGAAATCGCATTTGAATAATTTGAATTAAAAAAAAAATCAGTCAAGAAAATCGTTAAACATAAGCAACGATGTGCACGTTTAGTTTGTAAAAAAGAGGAGAAATGAGGTTTTGGGGGGAGTTGAATTGCTGTGAAAAGAGAAATTTTGACAAAATAACACAAGAGGATCGCCCCGAAGTGCTCCACCGAGAAAGTGGTTGTGTAAATTTGCGGGAAGTAGTATGTAAGATCGCAGAAATGGTAGGTGAATTTTCAACCGACGCTAACATGTTGTGTAAATTTGTTTTATTGTTCGTAAATTCACTGTTCATGTCAGGAGTTTACTCGTTAACTGGTTCTAACACAATTTAACAGTCAGGAGTTTGTTTAGATATGGCACTTGTTAGGAGATTTCATGAAATTCATTTAGTCAGGACACATCTTTTGTTTATCTAATAATGAATAACGTTCCTGGATGCTTATACTTAAGTGTTACACTATAACACTTGCTAATTTCACACAAGATTGCTAATAGTTCTTTTACGGCAGTTAAAATTACCCTAATGTTATCCCACTCTGGGAAAAGGACCGTGAAAGTATGGTAGAATTAATAATATCGTGGACTGATATACGGGGAGATTAGAAATTTTTCCCTTTAGGCAGTGATCATCATTATTATTATATGTATCACCGATGTATTTTCTCGCAGTGTGGATAATTACATTACCGAGGAGCATTTCTCGCAACGCCTGATACATTTTGCGTTGTTTATTTATCATGTGTTTTGTTTGGGATAAGGTGAGGACAGTGCTCGATATAAACCTTCAAAGTTAATGGTTTTAATTAGCTAGTCACTTGGAACAAGGCATCATTTAACATAATGTAAACTCTTTGTTTGAATCGTCGATAAAGTGTGGCATAATTTAACGTAATATAAATTTTTTGTTTGAATCGTTGATAAAGTGTGGCATAATTTAACATCAGGTAAATTCTTTGTTCTGGTAGCGGCCATGTTGAAAGAGTATTTTCCAACCTAACACATGTTTAGACTGTAAAATCTCGTTGAACAAATTAACAACATTGTGGGTGATGAGGGACGTGCATTTTAGTCCTTTGATTTACACCATTATTTGCACAATGCAGCAGGATTGATCTTATTTCTGGACGCATCTTTTTTGGAACGACGCATTTGTCCGACGCCAATTTGGACCTCCAGATTGTCTGCCATGGACCTAAAATATTAACCTCATGTGATTTTGTAGGCTTTACAATTTTTCTCTATCTCACAGTTTTTAACTTCAGTAATTGTCTTTGGTGGACAGAAACACGTAGAGGAAGCGGAGTGCGCGATTCCTTGTCGAACTAGAGGCCGCGCCATCTGCACAAAAGGCGCAGGTTTAAATAGGAGTTAGGGACGGTCGGGATAACGTGACGCTCGCGGCTTGGCCCAATAGCCAAGATTTCCAACCACGAGTTTGCTACCGTTAATTCTTTGTTTTTGTCAGTGGAGGAATAAATAATTATTTGGTGTTTTATTTAGCGGTTCTTTTCCAACCTTGGGGTCCACCACTTGCATCTGAACGCATTTCGCCACAAAAAAAACATAAAACGTAGGTTCCAATTTGTTAAACGATCACAGCCAACTCCAAATTTTTGAATTTTTCGCGGGCTTTCACATGCCAATTTAAGGCAGGATTTTTTCTTTCAAAAATGAACTGTGTAAAGCCGACGCACAATGAAAAAATAACAGGAAAAATTCATGTTGGCAGCGGAATACCAGTAATGTCACCTTTCTTAGGTTGTCAGTCTGCTAATTGTCATCTAAATCGACATTTGAATTTTAAAACTCCATACTCCACAAACATGATTAAGGAGTGAGTGAGCTCGAGTGAGCTTGTACGCAGTATCTTTTCTTTGACGTTCTTGAAAACAATCTTAACAGCGTTAATCTCAACGTGATTTGATAAGTCAAAATATCAAATTGTAGAATAGTTACTAAAAAAATTAGTAAAATTCGCGTTTAAAAACATGGCAATAGAGAAAAATAAAAAACGTATTTTATTAAATGGGTTAGCTTTTTTTTGTTTTAAAACGATTTTTTTTTATTTTTTGACATTTTGTTTGTTGTCATAAACATTTAACAGATTTAATTAAATAAACATTTCAAATGTACTTCTTTTCGTAAACTGGCAAGTATTTGTTATTTAACAGAGTCAAGATTTTCTTAAAAATCCCAAAAAATTAAAATTTGTGGTTGCGCCATCTTTGGGTTTAAATTTAAACTATACGGATGACAACGAACACTTCAACAACATGCTACCATAACGTCAAACTTTCGAATAGAGATTAGAATAAATAATTTTTTTGACATGTTTTATGATACGGTTTTACACTTATATTTTCTGCTGCAGTTGTCAGCATGGAATTGGTAATATTATTCACTAAAGAAATTTATAAAAAAATGTCTTTGATGAATTTATATACAGTTCTAAAATTTCAAAATGTCTGCTCTTTATTCTAACAAAAACTAACATCAGTCACATCAAACATCTGAAAATGATAATTTTAAAACAAAAAACAATCTGTTTTAAAATAATTTTAAAACAAATCGTTTATTTTTCACTAACATCTCTTCATTGTAATATTTGTCCGCACTGACATTTAAGTTGGCTACAATGAATCTTGAAAATTAAGCACCACATTTGATTGGTGGATTTCGTGGCACTACATTTAAAACACGAGAAAATCAGCACAAATGATTCATTATTGCCAACCTAAATTAGCATTTTTTTTTATACCCGATAGCTATGGCTGAAACTGCGTTTCAATTCCCTGCTAAAGACCAAGCAATTGTGATGAATGCAGTAAGTGAATTAAAACTTACTGACTATGTCATTGCGATTGGTAACCTGATGACTCCTAAAGATATACTTTTTGCATCTCGTATGTCCAACGATCGAGTTTGTATCTACTTGAGTAACAAGGCACTTGTAGATCAAATAGTATCTGAACAACCTGCACTCATTATCAACGGGATTGAAATTAAAATTCGTCGGTTATTAAACCCAGCTAAACGTATCATCTTATCCAATGTATGCCCCACGATTCCTCACTCCATTGTTGAGAATCAAGTTAAAATGTTGGGTTTTACAGCTGTCTCGCCTATGACTTTTCTCAGAGCCGGCATCCAGAACAGTGCTTTTTCACATGTGCTCAGCTTCCGTCGACAAATCTACGTACAACCTTCATCTATCAGTCTCCCATCTTCTGTCGTTCTTAAGTATGATGATACTAACTATAGACTTTTCTTAAGTTTCGACGATGTCTGCTTTAAATGTAAAGCAGCTGGTCACTATGCAGTTGACTGTCCGAATGTCATCGAGAAATCCACTTCTATAGTTTCCCCCTCTGAAAACGCCAAACAATCTGTAGACCAAGTTTATCCCAGTAATAAACGACAAACTACTAACGATGATCCAGATGAAGTAACTCCTTTGGATCTGACTCCAATGTTCCGTGATAAAGATGCTCGTGAAAAGAGAAAGCCCAAAAAAATGAAAATTAGTGACTCACTTGAAAGTCTCACGCCTACATCTGAACTGTTGTCACCTGTTAGACAATTAATAGACAATTCTGGGGTACAGTATCCCGTCGACTTCAACCAGTTCGTAGAGTTTATGGATAAGGTGATAGGAGATAGCAACGTGATGGATCTTATTAACAAATACACAACTGATGTACAGGGAATGTTAAATTTGTTATATGACGTATACCCTCTTGTAGAGCACAAAAGCATCAAAAATAAATGTTTAAAAGCCCAACGTAAACTGAAAAAGGCATACGCAAACTTTGTAGATCAAACATCAGCTGATCCCGTTCCTCCAACCGAGTCGTTTCTAATTTCTCCTCTTCAAGATGAATACTAATAACTTTTCTAAAGCATTTTGTAACCCTTTAATAGCATATACTAACATAGCATCTTTGCCTGCAAAATATGATGAATTCTGTTCTTTTGTTGTCTCGAATAAACCCGCTATATTTTTAATCACTGAAAGTTGGTTAAATGTAGCAATACCCGATTCTCTATACTCTTTACCAGGTTATTCAATATACAGAACTGACCGAAAAGGTAAACGTGGTGGGGGTGTCTGTATCTATGTATCTCATTCGATTACTTCTGTATTCAAAGTCACTCCTCTTGATGTCAACATTGATAAAATTGAAACTCTCTTTCTTAATTTCAAAATTAACACTAGTTCGCTTCTACTTGGGTGTATTTATAGGCCTTCATCTACTGTTATTAATGATGACTTAGTGTTATTTAATACTCTGGATCGCTTATCTGAAAAATACACTCATTTATTGCTATTTGGCGATTTTAATATGCCCGAAGTAAACTGGATGTCTTGTCTGTCTAATCCTCGCTCCACTTCAGAGCAATTGTTGGTAAAATTATTGCAGAATTCGCATCTTGTCCAGATGGTAAATCAACCGACGAGGTATAGACAAAACCAAGATCCATCCAGATTAGATCTTATTCTATCATCCGACGAAAATCTGTTCACAAACATACAGTATTTGGATCCGATTGGTAAATCGGACCATGTAGTTATTTCAGGACAACTACAGTTATGCTACAAAGTGATACCGCGTACGGTCGTCAAAAATAAATCCGTCATTAATTTTGTTGAAGTTAACTCCGAATTTGCTAATCTAGACTGGACTTCAATTTTAACGAACTCAAACATTTTGGAAAATTGGGCCGTTTTCAAAATTACGTTCAACACGGTAGTAGCAAAACATACGGTAATATTTACATCGAAAAAATCTGGTACAAAGCCGTGGATCAACTCGAGAATATTAAAAATGGTTAAGGAAAAACGTCGCCTTTGGAAAATTTACAAACGTTCTAGAAATCAAAGTGATTATGTATCACACCGAACATATTCGAATAGATTGTCGAATACAATAAAGAAAGCTAGAATTTCATTTGAAAATAACGTTGCTAACTCAAAGGATCCCAAACTTCTGTACAAATATATAAGGTCAAGTATTAACGGATTGGCAGAAACTCCACAACTCAAAAATCATAACGGTGACCTAATTACTGATAATTATGTTACTGCCGAAGTTTTCGCGGATAGTTTCTCAGCAAACTACTTGGTGGAACCACCTATTCATTCTTCATTGACCTCTGATTCCATTGTTCATTCTTCTATTCTCATGGATGTAGAATTCTCGGAGGACAACATATCAAAAAAAATCAACTCGTTGAAAGAAAACACCTCTCCAGGACCAGATGGACTATCTGCTACTATGCTACGAAACTGTGCTCAATCTCTATGTAAACCTCTCAGCATTCTGATGACTCAATCTTTTAAATCGGGTTCTCTTCCTTCTGATTGGAAGCTAGCTAATGTGAAACCTATTTATAAAAAAGGAGACAAATACTGTGCGACTAACTATCGACCTATAAGTCTCACTTCTCTCGTCGTAAAAATGATGGAATCGATTATTTGTGATAGTCTTCGTGCGTTTCTTAATCAGCAAAACGTCATACCAACTGAACAACATGGTTTTGTGTCGGGAAGATCTACTACTACTAATCTGCTGAGTTGTGTAAACGATTGGACTAAAAATTTTGATCGAGGAATACCAACTGACGTTATCTATTTTGACTTTGCAAAGGCATTTGATAGAGTCCCAATTCAACGACTTATATTAAAACTAAAATGGCTTGGTGTCTCAGGTAATCTGTTGGTTTGGATTAAATCCTTTCTGTCTGAGCGATTGTTTAGAGTAAAAGTTGGTGAGGTAGTGAGTGGTCACAAGCAGGTAATAAGTGGTGTTCCGCAGGGTTCTGTATTGGGACCCCTCCTGTTTCTTGTATACACAGCCGACTTAAGAAAGCATATTCGGTCACCATGTGCGTTTTATGCTGATGATTTTAAAATCTATAACTCGTCCTGTAAACTAAATGTAATTGCGACGGATATATTAGCTGTGACGGAGTGGAGTAAAAAATGGCTCATTCCTTTGAATATTAGCAAATGTGTTGTCTTGCACATTGGCCCCCATAATCCCAGAGCTGACTACTTCATATATGGTGTTCCACTGACTAAAGTAGATGCACAGAACGACTTAGGAGTAACAATTACCACCGATTTAACGTGGTCACAACATATCGCTAAAATAGTAAGTAAAGCCAACAAAATGGTATATCTATTAAGACGTACGTTTAAAAATCCTGACCATGACACAGTTGCAAAACTACACAAAACATATGTAAGGCCAATCCTGGAGTATTCTAATTTAGTGTGGTATCCAATTTTAGTTAGGGATAGTGATCTGTTAGAAGGCGTTCAGAGGCGTATGACTCGATTACCTTATGGCATTTTGCGACCATCGTATGAACAGAGACTCGTAATCATGAAATGCCCTGCATTGGGTCAAAGAAGAACAAGAGGAGACGCCATTGCAACATTTATTGCACTCATATTAAATGTTCCTCCGACGAACAGCATGTTTACTTTGAATTCTGATGTGCGTACTAGAGGTCATCAGTTCAAGCTCCTGAAAGAAGCGTTTCGCACCAGAACCCGACAGTTTTTCTTCTCGAACCGTATTTTCGACACATGGAACTCTCTCCCATTACAAGTAGTGTGCAGCCCAAGTGTACTTAGTTTCAAGAAAAATTTTGATCATTTTATGAATATGTAAACTATTTGAATTGTAATATTTGTATTTGTTGAATTTAATAAAGTTAAGAACTATTGTTGCTCACGCGGGCATAACAGAGTGTGAGCTCTCTGCTCGAGCGTGCAATAATAATAATAATAATAATAATAATAAATTTCAGTGTGGATAAATGTTACCATATTTTTCACCCCCCGATACCACTATATATACTATTTTTCGTTGTGCGTCGATTATATCTCATTATTTTTTAAATTAAAACATAGGTAGTGTTCCGTTAGTTCCATTGTAGGTCTCTGATGTTGGGCATCACTCATGTTTTAGTGCGTTTGGGGAAAAATCACCCTTAGGTTGGTAGTCCAGAGACTTTTGTAAGAGAACGCTCTGTGAGAACGCTCACAGAATCTTAAAACGTTCGTGTTTTTGGCGCGCCACTTGTTGTTCTGGCGTTGTTAGCATAAACAAAATGAATTGCATTCGACGCCACTGTCCCCCTCAGTGAGTGTAATTAGTGTAAGACCAGTTAATTAAGTGTTGCTTTGTTTAAATGTTTGTAATTTCACAGTTTATGTTAAAATTTATATCTGTTCAAGTATTCATGGTTCTAATGCAAATTAACTTATTTAGGCTCAACTCATTTCAATAACTTATCTTTTTACTTGACTTATCACCTGAGATTCATGATAATTCATTATTACATTGCATGGACCCGTTTTAAGAGAAAGGACCTTGAAAATTATCATCAATTAGAATTAATATTGTGGACTCCAACACTGGAGGAAACTCATATTTTTTAGAGGTTTAATAATTTCTACATTTATTTTCGAATTATTATTTTGATTTTGATCGAATTTATTACGTGCTTGTTGTGCTTATTACCTACGTGATTTGCACGAATTGGGAATTCATTTGGTACACGATCTGATTTTGTGATCTCATTTTGATGCAACCGTCAACTTGATTTAGCATAATTCGACATCTTGTAAATTCTTTATTGTTGGAAATTCTTGATATAGTGCGGCATAATTAAATTTTGCTTATTTTGTTCCTTGTATTTATAATACTGGGATTGCCGGGCGAAAGGAAAGGGACCAGTGTTCATGTGAATATTTATTTCTTCTGCAATACCGGATTTTAAGCTATACGTTAATGAACATGTTTTAGATCTTTTGATTAACCGTCGGTCGTATGGAATAAAAAGCAGTCTTTAGAGCTGTATCTGTTTATTTTGTTTCTGCTTTATGGACAAATCCTGCAATAGTAGAACAGAGTTGTCATTGTAATAGTAGTTTCTACTCCCAATCTGTTTTACTCAACTTGGTCATGATGCTAAAATTTGAATAAAATTTACAACGAAATCCTCGTTAATAATATTATTCATACTTATTTTTAACATGCTCATACACTTTCTTTTCTTTGTCAGTCAAACCATTGTACATCACATCCATGTTAATATTTAATATATCAGTGTTATTCATCCCAACTAGAATAGTGTGAGGACCTTCTTGAGCTAACGCATAGTACAATGCCAGTCTTCCTATTTCCACGTCATTTTTCTAAATTAAAAGAATAGACAAATAAACCTGAAACAACAATTTACTTCCATACCTTGCAATACTCTCTAGCTTCAGCACACAGATCTTTGATATCTTGACTCGCTCGTTGCCACTCTGGAGGGCCTGAACTGCTAAGCATACCAACGCAGTGAGGAGCGGCATTTATAATGGCCACATTTTTGGACTAAAAAAATATTGTTTTCACTATTTTGACAGCGAGAATGAGAAACGGACCAGCATCTGCGTTAAACACTCAGTCCCTACTTTTAAATATCAAAAAATATTCTTGTTGACAGACTTACTTGGAAAAATGGAATGTACTCCCTCAGCGTCTGATTCAGCAAAGACAACCGTGTAAAGCTTAAAACTGAGTCAATCTTAACGGTACTTTTCTTAAGATAATCTTGTAACAAAGAAACAGGATAGGAAGTGACTCCCACATATCTTGTTTTCCCTTGTTTTCGCAACTCCTCCAGGACTGGAAGGGTTTCGTTCAAAACAACGTCCGGATTGGCATGTTCAAGACTATGGACCTAAACGAACGTTTGTTTAAAATATCTCTGGACGCAGAATTACTTACCTGTAGGAGGTCGACGTAATCCACGCCAAGTCGTTTTAAACTGACTTCGATACTCTCCCTGGTTTTTTTACCAGAATAGTCGAACATGAATTTGGGGTCCTTTTCGTATCGACCGACTTTAGTGGCTAAGTAGTAAGCTTTGCGAGGGATTCCCTCGAGGCACTTAAATTATTAATATTTATTGTAGGGTTTATGTAAATAATCAATAAGTATTACTTTTCCGAGAACTTCTTCTGACACGCCATGACCATAAAAAGGAGCTGTGTCGATGAAGTTTATGCCTCTTTTGACGGCTTCGTGGACGGTGGCTTTGCATTTTTCAAGATCGTAGCCGCTAGAGGTGACATAGTTACATAGTTATACATGGTTTATGATGATGAGGTAATAAAATAATAATTTCGGGTTAGTTAAATGTCAGCCGAGAAGAATAAACAAGGTGTAGGTGTAATACTACAGAAAGTGACTTAAGGTGAAACATTTTATAACATCTAAGTATTGCTTTACTTACCCAAAGAAATAAGAAAAACCAGCGGTTCCCAAAGATAATTGCGAAATGTTCATATCGGTGTCCCCAAATTTAATATATTTCATTTTCTGAACCTCATTTTTGTCGTGAAATCCTGGTACGTATGTTTCGGGTAGTGCACACATTTTTCTTTTCTTTTAACAAACGTTTAAAATCTTAATCCGGATGCACTTACACGTCTTTAAATAGTGAATTTGTTTGACTGATTATGTCGTCGAGTTGATGTCCTGATAAATTGAACTATTAGGTTATTTTTTAGAGGTCATCGCTACTCCTGGGTGTTCTAAATTTACTCACATTCATAGAAGCAGTTCGGCTCGTAAAACTGCAGTTTTTAATTTTTTCAGAACTTACACATTTATTTATAAAATGCGATTTTTTATTTTTTTTTTTTAATTTTGTGACGTTTATAATTCTTCCAGTCTCGGTTATTTGTGGGTAAATATTGGTAATTATTCTTTACGTGGAACAGTTTTATTGAAACTTGTTAATATACAATTTAAAAATAATTCGCACAATTTGTTACCCCTCAAAAAATTGATGACGTCATCTAAAATACCGCTTGTGACTTGTCAGATTTCTGTTCAAACAGAATTCTTTTAATCCCTAGATTTATTGTTTTACTGTTTATTCATTATTTATATTTTGCTTTTTTTTTGTCTTAATCTAAATAGTCTTCTTTTTACAATAAGAAACTTAAAACTTGTTTAAAATTGTCCATTTTGTAGGGAAATATGGATTTTGCAATTAAACTCCTCCCCCTGGTCCACGACGAATAAAAAAAATTATCACACATGAGATAGGGCGGGTGGGTGGGGCTTAAGTTTTTCCTTATGTTTTTTCTTAATACACGCGGTCTTCTTTTCACAACAAAGGACTAAAAGCCTATTTCAAATGGTACGTTTTGTAGGAAAATATAGCTTTTGCAATAAATCCCCACCCCTCGGTCTGACAACGAATGAAAATTTCATCACAGTGGACAGCGGGATAGCTGTAGGTGGGGCTTAACCCCGTAAAAATGAAGATTTTACAATTAAGCTCCGCCCTCCGGTTTATGAGGAATAAAAAAATCGCTATTGAGAGGTTGGTGGTTGGTCGGGGCTTATATTTTGCTTTTTTTTCTTAATATACGTAGTCTTCTTTTCACAACAGGAAACTTAAAATATGTTTAAAACGGTAAATTTTTGTAAACAAATATGGATTTTGCAATTACGCTCCGTCCACGACTTACGACGAAAAAAATCATTACACTTTAGATATTATATATTATTTATATTTTGGCTTTTTGTTTTCTCAAAATGTACAGTTTTCTTTTCACAACAAAAAACTTAAACATGTTTAAAGTGGTAAATTTTTGCGGAGAAATATCGATTTTGCAATTACGCTCCACCCCTCGGTCTCACAATGAATGAAAAATTCAACAAAATCAAGATCGGGACAGCTGTGGGTGGGGCTTAATCTTTGGCTTTCTTTTTTACTTAATATACATAGTATTCTTTGACTACATAAGAACATGTTTCATTAGGTAATTTCTTGTTGTAAAATAATTAAGTATTTTACAATTAAGCTCCGCCCCCCAGCTCACGACAAAGAAAGAAGGATCTCTATTGAGATGCCGGTTGGTGGGCGGGGACTATATTTGACTTTTTTTCTTAATATACGTAGTCTTGTTTTCTCAACAGGAAACTTAAAACATCTTTAAAATGGTAATTTTTTCCAGATAAATTCGGATTTTGCAATAAACTCCGCACACGGGTGAAGACGAAAACAAAATTATCAGACATGAGATAGGGCGGGTGGGCGGGGCTTATGCTTGGCATATTAAAAATGGTAAATTTTTGCAGAAGAACATGGATTTTGCAATTACGCTCCACCCCTCGGTCTGACAACTAATGAAAATTCATCACAGGTATTGGTGGGGCTTAATCTTTGGTTGTCCTTTTTATTTAATATGTATAATTTTCTTTGACGACTCTTTAAGAACATGTTTCATATGGTAATTTCTTGTAGAAAAATAAGGATTTCTCAATTAAGCTCCGCCCCCCGGTTCACGACGAATAAAACAATCATTACATATGAGATAGGGAGGGTGGGCGTGGATTATGTTCCTTCCTTTTGTTTTTTCTTAATATACGCAGTCTTCTTTTCACAACAAGGAACTAAAAACATATTAAAAATGGTAAATTGTTGCCGAGGAATATGGAATTTGCATTTATGCTCCACCCCTCGGTCTGACAACGAATAAAAAATTCATCACAATTAAGATTGGGACAGGTATGGGTGGGGCTTAATCTTTGACTTTCTTTTTTACTTAATAAACATAGTTTTCTTTGACGACTACTTAAGAACATGTTTCATATGGTACTTTTTGAGCAAAATAAGGATTTTGCAATTAAGCTCCGCCTCCCGGCTCACGACGAATAAAAAAATCACCATTGAAAGGCTGGCAATTGGGCGGGGCTTATATTTTGCTTTTTTTTTTCTTAATATATATAGTTTTCTTTTAATAACAAGAAACAGGTTTGAAGTGGTAAATTATTAAAAATATGGATTTTGCAAATTAAGCTCCACCCTTCAGCTCACGACGAATAAGAAAAAATCATGTCAAACATTGCCAATATTTTCGGGTTTATTTTAGATAACAAAAACCGAGAATATAAAGTATTTTATCGAGAACAGCAGACATTAAAAAATTCATAAATATCGTGTCTATACATGTGTTTTTTTAGAAATCTCGGCAGTAAATAACTTACGCAGTTAATCAATAGAGCTAGTAATTTCGTTGTATTAATCTAAGTACCAGATCATTGTAATACGCTGTACTGATGAGACATAGAAGATCGAAATTTCAGTCTATAGAATTTTTATTGCGTTGTCTAAACGTTTATTACATCTCCAGATTCGTTTCTCTTCATCTATTGAGAAGACTTGCGCCCGCGTGGAACGCGCAGCTTAGAAATAACTGCTTGTTTTGAGATGTTAGGGTATAGAGCATAATATGCGGCAGGTTTTTTGAGCATATTTGAAAATAAAATTTTTTTTTTAATATATCGAGTGTTTGTTCGGTACATGTTTACAATAAACCTAAAATGTAATCGATGGCAGCTGACAACCTGGAATGCCATACCCTAACCTCATTTTTTCGTATAATAACATTAACGTATTTCAATAACTCTGTCAAATGTCAGTTATACACAATACCATGTATTGATGAAACAGATGCGTTTTCGCTACGTTTTCAAAAAAATATAGCCAATTTGACGACTTTTTCAAATATATATATTGCATTTGCAAGGTCAAAAATTTCCTGAATAAAGATTTAATTTTGGAAAAAGTGTTGACATAAACTTATGATAAATATTTGTTTAATTATTATTAATTATTTATTATTAATAGATTAAAGGGGTTATAAGGTCATTTTGCATAGGTCATCATGATTCTGCAAAAAGTAATTTTACCATGTTGTTACTTCAGTTTTTTTACTATTGGAAGATGTTATTAAAAATAAGTAATGGAATGCCTTGCGAACTGACACTATTGTAATACTTACAGTAAAAACTTCAACCCAGCCTTAAATAAACATTCGAGCATGTATATCTTTTGCTTAAAAATTATTTACAAATCATTAAAAATGTCAAATCTTGCCAACATATTCACGTTTATTTTAGCTAACACAACCGAGAACATAAATTACTTCACCGAGAACAGCAGACGTTAAAAAAGTTCATAAATTTCGGATCTGTACACTTGTTTGTTTTAGAAATCTCGGCAATGAATAGCTGGCGGAGTTAATCAATAGAGCTGGAAATTTGTCGTTGTATTAATCTAAAATAGACTTATTTGGAATTTTTAATTTCAGATTTTCTTCATCTTTAAATATGGCGTTATAGAAATATGTGTTGACATTCATCTTACACTTGGTCGCATTAATCCGAAATTCCGATGGAAAAACTATGCGTTATTTCAAATTATTAGTTAAATCGAAAAACACATTCAATACAATTAAAATTACAGTAAGCTAGTTTCGGAAACGCTCAGCGTACTGCAAGAATAAATGTTCAAATTCAAGCCACCAGAAAACTATTAATCCGACAAGAGAATAGTTATCCTTGAAACAAAGTATTAAACCTGTAAGCAAATAATAAAAAAAAGAGTTTCATGCCTATTACATTGTATTACGAGTAGAACCAGGAACAGTTAAAAATCTTAAATTTTCTGCTTGATGAATAATAATTGGTATATTTTTTCTACAAATTAAGATTCACTCAGTCGGCTTATTCTTTATACATATATTATTTCACAAATCCACTATCCTATAAACTCCCTGATAACGGATTTTCACGAATCATAAACCTCGTAACTTAATCAAATAAACCAAAAGTTTCCCCTCTTGAAATACAGTTCATTTTCTCACAAAACCCAGTTTAATAAACCTGCGTGGGTCAGGATCCAGAGCTTCTGGTCGTCTTTGTAGTAAGACACCAAATAGTCACTATTCAATAAAACTTTTCAAGTTTTCAAAGTAGAAACTTTATTCAGCTCAATGTTGATACAGCTGCTGTGGAACTTCATTATAAAGGGATAGAAATTATAAGGAAACTGAAGGCGTTATTTCAACAGTACATTTAAATAGAAATTTTAAAGCAAGTTGAACTTGTTTCCAAGTAATCAAACTGGGAACAAGGTCAAACGTATCATCCTTTAACGGTTTCCCAGTAGCGCGCAACTTCGATTCCTTCCCAATCGGTTTTCGTGAGTTTTGAAAGAATCCTAAAAGTCGAGAATTATTCGATGTACCACCGAAGGGTGCACACTCACTTGTTCTTGACGTAATCGGAAACTTCTTTCTCCTTCTGGGTTATGCCCTTGTGGTACCCATCGAGATTTAGTTTCAACAGGTCGGTCGTATTCATCCCGACTAAATTGGTGTGGGGACCGTCTTCTTGCAGAGCGTATTGCAGCGCTAGTTTGCCGAGTTCAACGTTGTTTTTCTGGAGTGGTGGCACTAGTTAAGAATGGAAATTGGATGCGGGGGATGTACTTACTTTGCAATATTCTCGAGCTTCTGTGCACACATCTCTAATGTCTTTAGGGGCTGGATGCCACTCTGGAGGCCCGGCGCTGCTCAGCAGGCCCATACAGTGGGCTGCGGCGTTCACAAAGCCCAAATTTTTTTCCTACAAAAAAATAATTTTGTTTTAATATTAACGTTTCGTTCTCGTCTTAGTTTTAATATAAATTCCTTGAAATCGATCACAAATTAATTAAACATGATTATAGCCCAGTGGTGAACAACTGCAAGAAATTGCTTTTAAGTTTACAAAAAAAAAGAAAAAATAAAGAGATCAACTGAATATGAACAGGTAATTTTTATGTTCTTGTAATTAAAGTAATTGCTCTATTTTCCTATATTTTTACTATTAATAATAATATTTTTACTATCAAAGAAATGTGTAGAAAAGAGTGTAGGATAAATATAATCGATGAAATGTTTCTTTTTCCACAGTTTTAGATTTTACTGCATGTTAAGTAGTATTTTCGAAATCATAAACGAAACTGTAAAAAATGTCACTTATTTATAAATCTGACGTAATTTAAGTGATTGTTGATAGAGCAAAGATGTTATTAAAATAATTTCTATAAATTAATAGAAATTATATTTGGAGTTCAGATTTTTCTACTACATTTTGCATTTTTTTAATGCTTTTTCAATATATTGTAGTTTAAAAATGTGAACTTTTCTTGCGTTTATGTTGGCATAATGGTAGTAATTATGTGATCAATATGTCAATGGTAAATTTAGGTTATGTTTTTTTAACATTTTGCAAATTAAAAGTGTCAACAATCTTGTCAATCTTGACATCTGCAAACCGGAAATTATAGAAAACATCATGATACCAATTCCAACTAAAAAACCAGGAGTACCAACAGATTCATTCTTGTACTGAATTATCACAAAAATGTTGCTTAATGAGTTAAAATTTTTAAATAAAAATTGTGACCGTATTTCCCACAAATTTTAATAAGTTTGAAAAATTGGAATCTATTAAATAAAAATAATAATAAGCATTAATTTATTGCAAGAACTTAAATGATTATGATTAGTGATCTGAATTAAATACCTTTATATTTTGGTGTCCCAGTCTGAATTCAAATTTTGTGTTGAGATGGAAAAAAAAACGGTGCGAAACCGCATTTGGATGGTACTAGTATAAAGACATGATGAGCATTAAGGATACCTAAGTTAAGTCTAGTTTAGTTTGGTAGTTTCATGAAATAGGGATTATTTAATCGAAAATTAATCATACCGACAGAGACGCCACACTTTCCCCACAGGCGTAATTAGTTAATGATCTTAATATGATACTGTACACAGTATTATATTAGGATTATAAATTAATTAAACATGATTTTAGCCCAGTGGTGAACAACTGCAAGAAATTGCTTTTAAGTTTACAAAAAAAAAATAAAGAGATCAGCTGAATATGAACAGGTAATTTTTATGTTCTTGCAATTAAAGTAATTGTTCCATTTTCCTATATTTCCACTATTAATAATAATATTTTTACTATCAAAAAATGTGTAGAAAACAGTGTAGGATAAATATGATCGATGAAATATTTCTTTTTCCACAGTTTTAGATTTTACTGTACGTTAAGTAGTAATTTCGAAATCATAAACGAAACTGGAAAAAATGTCACTTATTTGTAAATCTGAGGTAATTTAAGTGATTGTTGATAGAGTAAAGATGTTATTAAAATAATTTCTATAAATTAATAGAAATTATATTTGGAGTTCAGATTTTTCTACTACATTTTGCATTTTTTTAATGCTTTTTCAATATATTGTAGTTTAAAAATGTGAACTTTTCTTGCGTTTATGTTGCCATAAAGGAAGTAATTATGTGACAGAAATGTCAATCGTAAATTTAGGTTATGTTTTTTTAACATTTTGCGACGGCATTTTGCAAATTAAAAGTGTCAACAATCTGTCAATCTTGACATCTGCAAACCGGAAATTATAGAAAACATCATGATAACAATTCCAACTAAAAATCCAGGAGTGCCAACAGATTCAGTAAGAAGAAAAATATGGTTTTTTTTCATTTGACGACAGAAATATCTCATTTTTGTACTGAATTATCATAAAAGTGTTGCTTAATGAGTTAAAAGTTTTAACCAAAAATTGTGAACTTATTTCTCACAAATTTTAATAAGTTTGAAAAATTGGAATCTATTAAATAAAAATAATAATAAGCATTAATTTATTGCAATAACTTAAATGATTATGATTAGTGATCTGAATTAAATAGCTTTATAATGTGGTGTCCCAGTTTGAATTAATAATTTCCTGTTGAGAAGGAAACAAAACGGCGCGAAACCGCATTTGAATGGTACTAGTATAAAGACATGGTGAGCATTAAGGGTACCTAAGTTAAGTTTAATTTGGTTTGGTAGTTTCATGAAATAGCGATTATTTAATCGAAAATTAATCATACCGACAGAGACGCTACACTTTCCCCACAGGCGTAATTAGTTAATGATCTTAATGTGATTCTGTACACAGTATCATAATAAGATCATAAATTAATTAAACATGATTTTAGCCCAGTGGTGAACAACTGCAAGAAATTGCTTTTAAGTTTACAAAAAAAAAAAAAAAAAATAAAGAGATCAACTGAATATGAACAGGTAATTTTCATGTTCTTGTAATTAAAGTAGTTGCTCTATTTTCGTATATTATTACTATTAATGTTAATATTTTTACTATCAAAGAAATGTGTAGAAAAGAGTGTAGGATAAATATAATCGATGAAATGTTTCTTTTTCCACACTTTTAGATTTTACCGTATGTTAAATAGTAATTTCTAAATCATAAACGAAACTGTAAAAAATGTCACTTATTTGTGAATCTGAGGCAATTTAAGTGATTGTTGATAGACTAAAGATGTTATTAAAATAATTTCAATAAATTAATAGAAATTATATTTGGAGTTCAGATGTTTCTACTACATTTTGCATTTTTTTAATGCTTTTTCAATATATTGTCGTTTAAAAATGTGAACTTTTCTTGCGTTTATGGTGGCATAATGGAAGTAATTATGTAACAGATATGTCAATCGTAAATTTAGGTTATGTTTTTTTAACATTTTTCAAATTAAACGTGTCAACAATCTGTCAATCTTGACATCTGCAAACCGGAAATTATAGAAAACATCATGATACCAATTCCAACTAAAAATTTAGGAGTGCCAACAGATTCAGTAATTTCTGATCAGGCGGTATAGAAGAAAACTATGGATTTTTTTTCAGTTGACGACATAAATATCTCATTTTTGTACTGAATTATCATAAAAGTATTGCTTAATGAGTTAAAATTTTTAACCAAAATCGTGAACTTATTTCTCACTAATTTTAATAAGTTTGAAAAATTGGAATCTATTAAATAAAAATAATAATAAATATTAATTTATTGCAATAACTTAAATGATTTGAATTAAATAGCTTTATATTGTGGTGTCCCAGTTTGAATTAAAATTTCGCGTGGAGGAAGAAAAAACAACAGCGCCAAACCGTATTTGAATGGTACTAGTATAAAGACATGATGAGCATTAAGGGTACCTAGGTTAAGTTTAATTTGGTTTGGTAGTTTCATAAAATAGCCATTATTTAATCCAAAATTAATCGTACCGACAGTGACGCCACATTTTCCCCACAAGCGTAATTAGTTATTCATCATTTTCTAATCTGAAATGTTGTAAAGTTTCGACGTTAAGACGTGATGTAAATTTTTGTTTATTGTTTGTAAATTCACAGTTTATGTTAAGATTTTTAACTGTTCCTGGTTCTAACACAATTTAGTGGTTATGAACTTGTTCATATAAACCACGTGCTAGGAAATTCACCTAGTCAAGGTTCATCCTTTAGTTTATCAAGTTATAACTAAAGCTTCTGGATGTTTTTGCTAAAGCAAAGAATAAAAACGGGCCGTCACTAAAATAGCTCACGAGAAAATCGCAACAAAAAGACGAAAAACAAATCCCCAGAACATAAAAACTTACTTCGCAATTTTGCAAATGTTAATTACTTAACAGTCTTAACACGCATGTCTAAATCTGCATATACAGGGTGTTATTGAAAGGTACGTACAACAAAATTGACAGTTCTTCGCGAAGTCTAAGAAGTCGGAAAAACTTATCTTGTGTTATCAAAATTACAACGGGAAAATAAAACCTTATCCAACTTTTTTAGGCGCTACTGAAGGATAAATGGGTAAAATTAATTTATTTTAGTAAATCCTAGCAACTGTAACAATTATAAAAAATAAAAGACCCTTTTGTTGCTATAGAAACGAAATATGACCTTTTAATCAGAGGCGTACAACGAATTTGCATATAAATTTTAATAATTTTTATCTCAAAAAGGAGAACACTTTTACCTGAACTTTTTTTTACTTTTAGCACTCATATTGCGAGACCAATTTCCGATTTTATTTTGTACGTACCTTTCAATAACAGGCTGTAGTACCACTCAAACAAATAATCAGACTCGACTACCAATCCCCAAACGTAAGAGCAAAATTCGCATATTCGCAAATTTCAAATATCACTGCGCCTGTCAGACATTGCGAACAACACGCGCAGAACCGTACACTTATAAAAAACCTCCAATCGCAATTACTTTCATCCGAAATCGTACCCAAACTAAAACAGCAGGAGGCGAAACCCAGACGCATAAAAGACAGATCAACAAACGCCGCTTTTACTAACAAAGATGCAGCAGGCTGACGCAACGTAGAGATGACGACATAGGGACCATGATGCAAGTTGAAAAAACCTCATCATCCCAGAAAAATGAAATTGTATGAAGTTACATACAAATAAATTATAGAATGGGGAAGAAAGAATGACATTGGAGATACTATTCAGTGTTGGGCAGTATCTAGATACTTGTATCTAAACAAAGTATCTAGATACATTTTTGGGTATCTAGTATCTGTATCTAGATACAATCGAATTTAAGCACAAAATATCTGTATCTAGATACAAAATTAATGGCGCAGATACAGATACATTTTTTTATTTCACTTTTTTTTCAGTAGTTATTAGTTGAGTTATGCTAGTAGTAATTTTTGATACTTCATGTTGGTGATTTTGGTCACATAAACAAAAATAGAGGTAAGAGCTCCACTAATAGTGTTCTGTCACGGAAATTTTCATATTTTAAATACCATCATTTCCTACATTGTAGCCTTCAGTACTTATACATCTTTAAGTATAATCCTGAGGGGTAATAAATCTAAGCCATGGTAAGATGGTATTTTAAAAACCATAAACCACAATTCCCTATTCACTCCGTTTTACCCGTATCCGGGGCAATGCATTTTATCTGTGTACCTGAGCAACCCGGGTACGGTAGGCCCGCTGGTTGTATTTGTGTAATTAAATAAGAGTAATGTTAATAGTAAAAATATTTGTTTAAGGTATGTTATTATTTTTAGAAAATAATAATTGCGTGTTACATAATGATTAATTTTTTCAATTAGCACAAATTAGTTTTGTAATCGACTAATGGAATGTTCAACACATACATTTCTCTCGCATAAATCGCATATTTGTTACTGTTTTATATCTTTATTTTTCAGACAAATGTAGCATCTTTTCCTGTTGCGACATGTGTCATTTATTCACTTTTTCATTGTTGTACCTAACGCGAGGCGGGCTTGGCAGGTCCGTTTTGCCCTAGAATGTGCCGATTATGTTTAAGTGTAAATCTTGGGCAATAAAATTAATATTTTTACAACCCTCGGTAGAATAATTTATCGTGATATATTCTCTGAAATCGTGAAACGAGATTAAAATAAAATGATTTTCAACAAAAATCTGAAAATTTAAAGTTGCACTCTGGTGATTCCGGCCTGCCAGGCAAGCCTTTGATCCTATAAGGGGTTTAAATACCTTTCTAAGAAATTGTACTTATTTTGCCTTAAACGGAACCAGTAATTCTTCCTAAAATGTATATACCTGCCGGACCGGGATAGACGATTACCGGACATGGTCATAAAAAGATCGTAAGCCGATATTGAAGAATAATAATTTATGACAGGTTGCCGACAACAGACCTTCAGCACAGAATAATCATTTCCCGTATTCTTTTGAAATATTAATTTTAATGCTGGAGATAATTATTAGTATGGGAATAAAAACAAAAAAAAAAAATCTTTTTAAGCGTACATAATAAATATTGCACAATTTGTGACACATCAAACAGCGAAACGATGGCCTATTTGCAGGGAAAAAAAAAAGATTTTTCAGTCTTGAATAACTATGGTACAGTAAAATGTTTATTTTTTAAATTTAATACCACAATCCCTTCTTCTGCACCTGTGGAACGGGTGTTTAGTAGCGGAAACCAAATTCTGACATCAAGAGGAAATAATTTATGTGACAATACGTTCGAAATGTTGTTAATTTAAAAAAAATCATTAAACAATACATAAAAAAATACATAAACATGTTTTCAGTTATTTTATTCGCCAAAGCTTCAAAAAGTATCTGTTTCCTTGTATCTGTATCTAGATACATTTCGAAAAAATCGAAAACAATCTGTATCTAGATACTTTTATCTTCCATATATCTATATCTGTATCTAGATATTTTTAAAAGTATCTGTCCCCAACACTGATACTATTCAATATTACGAACTATGCTTAACCTTAATCATAATATAAAAACAAACCAATATAATAAATTAGGACACCTGTTAAAATATAAAAGTTCTTCTACCGTTAGGAATAATGTTAGTTTCATCAGGCACTTTCAAACTGTTCTGGGCACTTTACTTTTATTTTTTGCTAAGTTAACAATAAATAGTTTGAGATTATAACAATTTCTATTTCTTTTTTATAACTATACGGTGCTCCATGAGTAATGAAGAGCCTGAATAGAGTTGAAACGCAACCGAAAATACATTTTCACCACTATCTTGGATATTATTATAATTACAATTGGAGCATTAAACATAGTAACCTTAACAGTTGTCAAAAGTTTTAATGAATTAGTTTCATTTTTTAAAAATGTATGATGCATTTAGGTAACCAGTTATACAGATGCGTGTGGTATTTGAATTGCGCCCTTGTGCATTTAGTAAGGTCCAAACTGAGAGGCGGCACGTCTTCATAATCTACTTCGACCCTATAATCATTTATAGAATTTATATAAATTTATAACTCCAGCTGTTCGGTAAACGGAACGTAGTTTCTTATAACACTCTCTCTAAGTCAAAAATCGAAAAGTTCTAAAAAAAAAATTTACCTTGAAAAGTGGCAGATACTCCTTAACAGTTTGATTCAGCATCGACAACCTCGTATAACACAAAACCATATCAATCTTCACGCTACTCCTCTTGATACAGTCGGCCAGAACGGAAACCGGGTACCCAGTGACCCCTATAAACCTGGCCTTCCCCTGGCTCTGGGCCTCCTTAACCGTCGGAAGCGTTTCATTAAGCACGATATCCAAAGACGGCGCGAACTCGACGTCATGAACCTGTCCAAACACACATAATTGACAAAAACACCCACGCGAATCAAAAATTGTGTTACTTGGAGCACGTCGACGTAATCGAGCCCCAGCCGTTTCAGGCTCAGCTCAATGCTCTCTTTCGTTTTCTTGGCAGTGAAATCAAACATCAGTTTGGGGTCGGCCTCGTAGCGAGCTACCTTCGTGGCTATGTAATAAGCTTTTCGGGGGATTCCCTCGAGGCACTTTAAAATTATTATCGGTTATTTTTGGAATGAATGTAATTTCGGCGAGTAAATAGAGCTAACCTTGCCTAAAACTTCCTCCGAGACGCCGTGGCCGTACCAGGGGGCCGTGTCGATGTAGTTTATGCCGTTTTTGAGGGCTTCGTGGACGGTGGTTTTGCATTGTTCGAGGGAGAATTGCCTGAAGGGATGCGAAAAATGTTTTCAGTAAAGTGTAGCCGAATAAATTACAATGAATAGAACAGTTTAAGAGGGTTTTTTAAAGTAAATAAGATAATGGCGGTCGTATGGTTTTTTAGCCGATGACGTCAAAGTTATCATGTCATTGATAGTTTTTAATTTGTATTAGATGCATATTTTAAATGGGGAAAGAGCTAGACGTAAAAGTTATATAAGTTTGCTTCGAAAAGAATGTAGATATCCTTTTATCTTTTACGTGCCTAATAAAAATGGATACAGATAGACAGACAGATAGACAGACAGACAGACGAAAACGGGAGACTATTTTTTTCGTACTGCAGGGGTCATGAAACGTCGAGAAAATATAAAAGTGGCCATTTGTTCGATGGACTCGATTACTATACTTCCTTAACTTACGCTCGGGAAGCAAATATTGAAAAACATTGGAATTATTATACTAACGAATTTAACTATTTATTTCTGCAGTAGCGCAGAGGGTACGATAGTCACCAAAATTCAAATACAAAAATCAAAGAGGGCTTTTAGCCCTTCATTTTAAATATACATGAAATAAATGTCTCGAGGTGTTCACCAATAAAAATATGTCGAATGATGTTAGTAACTGACCCTCAACAAAGATAAAGGACTTTTTTAGAAAACGAAGAAGATAACGAAACGAGAAAAAGTATTCATTCCTGCTATTTTAAAGCATAATTAGATTTATATGTTAGTGAAAATAATGTTTATCTTATCTTGTGTTATTATGACATAACATTCCGATTATGTTATTTGTAAATACTAGTTACATAACTGAGTTTTTAAAAACATATAACAATATTAAACAATACTCTCTACAATGAATTACATTATTATTAAATTAACAAATTATTTCTATTCTTATCACAAAGATGATCAAAAATTGGTTAGAATTATAGAAATTAACATGAATAAAAAAAAGAAACAAAATAATACCAACTTCAAAAATATCCCCACTTCGATTTTTTATGTGAAACCTTTCATTCCAAAAAAAATCCAAAAAATTGGAACAACGTGGCAACGTCGCATCGGAATTTCTAAAATAAACTGTGGTTATAAAACTTAAGAAGAGATCAGTCAAAATATGTAAAAATAATTTTAGAGTACATCGCATCACCTCGGTTTTTGACTTTTTTCGATTTCTATTCATTAATGGAAATATCGAGGAGCGTACTTAGTATATAACGATATAAATATATCAAGAGAGCAATAAAAAACACAGCTAAGATTTTTTTTTTAATTTTTATTTGACAGAATTTTTATCTTGTTAGATTACCGTCAATTTGAAATCTATGCCCTTGATGGTATTTTTTAAAATTGACAATCAAAAAAACGGAAAACTGAAAAATCGAAAAAACAAAAAATCGAGAATTCAAAAATCGTAAAAATCAAAACTTGGAAATCTCGAAAAATGAAAAAATCAATAATCGAAAAACCGAGAAGTCGACAATTCAAAAAATCGCATGAAAAATCTGTAAATCGAAAATTCCATCATGTGAAAAATTGAAAAGTTAAAAATTCGATGAATGAAATATTCGAAAAAACGAAAATCCAAAAATAAAAAATCGAAAAATCTTCCTCAAAGTCGAAAAGTCGGAAAATTGAAAAATCCAAAAATTAAAAACTGTAAACTCTAAAAACAAAAAAACTGAAAATTCCAAAACAAGTAAACTCTAAAAATGAAGCATGAAAAAATTGAAAATTCGAAAAATCAAATATTTGAAAGTTGAAAATAAAAAAATCGCAAACCAAAATATTATAAATTCGAAAATTCGAAAAATTAAAAACCGAATAATCGAAAATCGAAAGGTCGAAAAACTGAAATGGTGCAAAATAGAAAAATCGAAGTCAAAATTTCAAAATACCGAAAAATGAAAATTCGATGAATCGTGTATCCGAAAGATCGAAAATCGAAAAATCAAAAAATCTAAAATTCGAGAAAGCGAAAAAGCGGAAGATGGAAAAATCGAAAAATCTTCAGGAAAATCGAAAGGTCAGAAAATTGAAAAATCGGGAATTGAAAAATCGAAAAGTAAAAATGTAAAATTGAGAAATAAAAAATTCGAATATCGAAAAATGAAAAGTATAACAATTGAACTCTAAAAATGAAGAATGGAAAAATTGAAAATTCGAAAAATCAAAATTGAAAGTCGAAGAATTGAAAATTCGAAAAGAAAAAAAATTGGAAACTCGAACATCGAATAATCGAAAAGTAAAAAAATTGAAAATTCCAATATCGAAACATATAAAAGTCGGAAATTCGAAAAAAAACTCGAAAAAACGAAAAAAGACCAGAAATCGAAAATCGGAAAAAAAATCGAAAAAACCAAAAAATTGAAAATCAAAAAAACGGAAAACTGAAAATTCGAAAATTCAAAAAATCGGGAAATCGAAAATCGTAAAAAATAAAAATTCGAAAATTCGAAAAATCAAAAAATCCAATAATCGAAAAACCGAGAAATCGACAATTAAAAAATTGAAATGTCAAAAATTCGATAAACGAAAATTCGAAACATCGAAAATCAAAAAATGGAAAATTCGAAACTGAAAAATCGGAAAACTGAAAAATCAAAAATACAAAAATGGAAAATCCAGAAATTGAAAATTCGGAAAGTCGCAAACCAAAAAATTATAAATTCAAAAACTCGATAAATAAAAAAATCGAATAATGGAAAATACAAAATACCTAAAAATCGAATCGTATATTCGAAAAATTGAAAATCGAAAAATCGAAAAGTAGAAACACTGTAAAATCGAAATATAAAAAAATGAAAATTCGAATATCGAAAAATGAAAAGAAAAACAACTGAACTCTAAGAATGAAGAATGGAAAAATTGGAAATTCCAAAAATCAAAATCTAAAGACGAAGAATTGAAAAATCGGAAAATCGAAAAATTTAAAGATCGAGAAGTCGATAAATCGAAAGAAAAAAAATTGGAAACTCGAATATCGAAACGTAGACATAGAAATCGAAAAATCGGAAATCAAAAAATCGAAAAACCAAAAAATTGAAAATCAAAAAAACGATTTCTTAATTGTGCTTCACAATTTCCGTGAATCTAAATGAATCGTTTCCGAGATAGTCGACAAAATTCAGCAACTTTGACTTCTTGACGAAGTTATTTTAAAAAAATTATTTTGAAAAATTCTACAATTTGATTTTACGACATTTTATTTATGGTAACCTATATACATAAAAAATGTAGATAGTCGTAGTAACATTGTAAGAAAAAATAAGAAAGAACCGTAAGGCCCAAATGCGGCTTTTAAAAGTTGGGATTTTTCACAAAAATTTGACATCTAGGGTAAAAAATCAATGCCGATTCATAAACAGGTAAAATAAAGACGTAAAGTAATAAATGTTGCAAAACCTTACACGGATTTTAGAAAAATTTTATAGATGGTAAAACGCTAACCAGAGTTTGTCTGGTTATTTGTATTAATAATTTGAAGACGGGCTACAAAAAAGGAGTAAAAACGGATCCAAAAACGATGACAAAAACGGGTCACAAAAAAAGTGTAAAAAAAAAGGCCGCCAAAAAAAGGGAATAAAAAAAAATGGGAAATGACAAAAAAGGATGAAAAACGCGACAGAAAAGAAGACAAAAACCCGGAAAAAATGGATCGTGACAAAAAAATGCTAAAAACAATTGCGAAAAAAATAGGCGACAAAAAATTGTGTAAAAAGTGTCGATAAATAAAAGGGACCAAAAAGACAAAGAAAAAGACAAACGAAAACTACAAAAAAGAGTACAAAAAAAGGCGACAAGGAAAGACGAACGAAAAATGTTAAAAATATTGCAAACAAAGACTTCAGAAAAAATAATCCAAAAATGCAACACAAGAAAATGGCGACAACAAAATGGAACAAAGAAATGTACACAAGGAAAAAAGCGATTAAAAAATGGGCCACAAAAATGGCGAAAAAGGCACAAAGAGAAAAAAAGGGATCGAAAACGAAGGCGAAAAACAAACCAACAAAAACCGGGACAAAAATAACGTTAACAAAAAAAAAAGAAGAAAAAGCACGACACAAAGACACAAAAATCACAAAAATCACTAAAAAATGACAAAAAAAAATGGAACAAGAGAGACGGTAAAAAACGAAAAAAGGGGCTGAAATATATATCGGGCTTTTTAAAAAAGGCGACAAAAATAACAGGAAATGCGAAAAAGGCAAAAAACCAAGATAACAAAATGGTCGAAAGTTATTGTAAAATCTGAACCTAAAAAGATTCTAGAGGGCTTCTGATTTTTTAAATTTTTTAATATACGAATTTCCTGAAAATGACACCGTCCGATGAATGTGTACGTTGATTCTAAACGGACAAAGACCCCTAGCTGAAATTATAATCCAATGTCCAAAAAACTATAGGAAATCAAAAGGAATAATATCTATATTTTTATTTTTTGCAGTTTTTTTATGAGCTATTGCAGTCAAAATTTTAGAATTTTAGCCATATCAAGCTATCTCATTTAAACATACCTCGATTTGTCTGAAAATGACTCCTGTCTCTAATTCGAACTTCCTGAATAAAAATGTAAGGCCAAAAAAAGTGTTGAAGGCTCTTAATTTTTTTTAATTTTTGTTCGGTACATATGTTGAAAAATAAATCTCTATATTTTTGTAAACTTTAAAACAGTAATATTGCTTTAAAAACAAATAAATAAATAAATAAACAAATAAATCAATAAATAAATAAAATCCGTTCAAACTTATCTTTAATCATCCTATTACATATACTTTGCAATATACAGTAGCCCTAGTTATCATATCGTATTTCAACTATTCAACCGAACAATTAAATTTATTATTTATTTACACAACACTAAATTCAGCATAATAACAATAGGGTGTGCACACTTGTCCCAGACAAAACTCCGCGGCCTTTTATCCCGAGAAGTAATAGAAATATTGAATTCCGTAAGAGCTATTGTTTTTAGCTTGAAGGGGAAGCTTGATTTAATATATTGCTTATATGACGCATTTATCGGCGTCACGACACAGTTAAATTGCAACGATGCAAAACACTTACATGTTGCATTAATTTTATCTGTAAAAATAAATGTTCTAAAGAAGAGATATATTTTATCGAATTGCTTTATATCGTGATTTAAGTATCGTTGTAATCGTAATTTAATGATCTATCAAAATCACTCAAATATATGTGTCATATTTGCAGTGTACTAAATTCCCTCTTCATATTAAAAACAATGACGTTTACAGAATTTCCATATCTCTAACTCTATTCATTCTCAATATTAGACGGCGAAATTGTATGTGGGACAGCCTGTATATTTTTTCCATTACAATGTTTGACCTTTCGGTTCTGATACGTTCGTCGTCTTGTTCTTGTTTTTCATTCACAGAGTGAATTTTATGTGCATCTGTTTAAAACTCAAAAATTGCAGAAACCCACCAAAGATGATATGAAATTTTAAAAATAAAACAAAATATCACTTGTTGTAAGTGTAAACTGGACAAACACCACAACTCCTGTTTTTTAATTATTACAGCCGGTATAACAGGTAAGTTGTAAAAATTTCCACAGACTTCTTACCCATAGTTCAAGCAGAAGCCGCCCGTTCCGAGTGAAAGTTTCGACACGCTCATTCCAGTGTTGCCAAACTTGCTGTACTTCATTTTCCTAACTTCCGCTTCGTTGTGGAACCCTGGCACAAAAGTCTCCGGTAATTCTCCCATTTTGAAAAACCAGTTATGAATGTCAACTTGCCACGATTTAACAAGGTTAGAAACGTGTGCGGAATGTTTTAAATTCGCCTTATCAGCTAAAAGTGGGGAATACACTCGACTGGTTGTTTTATAAATAAATTCCGCCAGAGTTGGTACACGTAGTGCAACATAGCCGCAAGTGTTGTGATTAGATAATAAAGACGGACTTAGTACACACTATTGTTACAAATATGAAACTAAGTAGGTACTTTAGTAAATACGTAAGTATGTTCGGCTCAGATCGACTGGGCGTGAAGTTTTTACACCACTCCTGTAATAGACGCGAAGGTCATGTTAATACGAAATTAGTTTATTGATTCTTCGTTCTATATTTGAATATTTTCTTTTCATTTTTGGATAAATTTTGAAATGACGTCATCAAGCTTTTGGAGGGGACGAAGAGACGAATTTTTATAAGGGAATTACTGTTTCCACGATAACCAAAAAGAGTGTAAAATTTCAAAGGAATCAGTTTTGTAGTTTCTAAGTTAAACTATAAAATTTTGTTGAATTGAAACGTAGTAACATTCTGTTAAACTTTCTTTATATTTCAAGTCAGACAATGTTGAATTTTCTTTGGGTTTCTTTATTGAACAAAAAGCGCCTTGTAACTAAAGAAACATTCCTGACAATTCACATACTAATAATAAAATGACGAACCCTCTCAGACTTTGCTTTCAATACCTTCAATAAATATCAAGACTACACCGCCATTTTTATTACTCATTTTTGTCTGGTTATCTCACTCACCTACAAACATACTAACCACTAGATGTATTAAATAATTAATTTCAACACTCCTTAATTATTTTAGAACAAAGTGATTCAAACAATTTTCTTGGGAGAGATTTTGTAAATCATGTTCTTGAATGAACCTCCGTGGGATTTCTATATGCTTCTTTCCTTTTGTAGTTTTACCTTCATGAGCGTTGTACATCATATGAATTGCCGCTTGATTATCGATAAGTAATTCGATGGGTTTATCTTCCTTTACAATTTCAAGTTCCAGACAAATTCTTTTGATCCAACAAACATCGTCAATTGCAGACACGGCTGCTCGGTACTCTGCTTCAGCAATGGATGTTGCTACCAAACGTTGTTTCTGTGTGTACCAAACGATTGGTCCTCCTCTCATCACAAGTACCCCCGTAGTTGAATGTTTAGTCTCAGGATCTCCACCATAGTCGGAATCCGAGTAAGCAACGGGTGTGTCGCTCCGTCAAAGAAGATACCATGATTTGGTGTTCCTTTGAGATATTGAAAAATCCTTTTTACCATTCGCCAGTGACTCATCATTGCCTTTCCGTTAAAGCGACTTAAAAAGTTAACAGCAAAACTGATATCCGGTCGAGAAATTATGGCCAAGTACAACAGGCTTCCAATCGCTTCTCTGTATGGGATAGATGGCGATATGGGTTGGTTGTTCATCTTGTCCTCTTCTCCTGCTACCATGCTTTTCTCAATGGGAGTTGACTTTGCATTGCACGTATCGAATTTAAAGCGTCGAATGATCTTCTCTGTATACTTTGGTTGACCTACAAAGATGCCTTCTTTGTCAATGTGAATTTCCATTCCGAGGTATGCGAGCTTGTTTTGAACTTGACGGCTGTATGTGATTTCGAATTTTGAGTTGATGTCGAGTATCTTGTAGATTTCCTTTTCATCATAGCCAGCGATAAGTCCGTCGTCGACGAACAAAGTTATTATGATAGTCTTATCCTTATTGTAATACAAACAGGGATCATCATTGGTGTTCATTAATCCTATTTTCTTCTCAAAAAATTTTGAAATCGTATCATGCCAGTTCCTCGGGACCTGTTTCAGTCCATATACTCCTTTCTGTAATTTGCAGACATAGTTGGTGCCATCTTTAAATCCTTCCGGTTGATGCATGTAAATTTCCTCCTCCAGGTTACCATATAGGAAAGCTGTCTTGACATCAAAGGGAACAAGTTTCATCCTCTGGGTAGCTGCGTGACTCAGCATGAGACTTATTGAAGTATGATGAGCTACTGGACTGAACGTTTCCGTATAATCAATCCCTTCTTAATAATAATAATAATAAAAGCGTTTATTGTTCTACAAAAGAGACAATGTGAGAACAAAAGGTTCGGCTACACCCCAACCCTGATACATTTCTAAGAACCAAACCCGTAAATACAAACAAGAGTATACAAAATAAAATAAGATGAGAAAAAAGAAACCCATTAAAATAAATTTTATTGTATCAATGTTGAAATTATTGCTCAAAATTTGTTTATTTATTTTGTTTTTAAGATCAAAATTAGAGTACCCACATGCTAACTCAGGGCACTTATTGAAAACGTAACTAGCCAGTAGCCAAGTAAGAAAATGAAGTTTTAAACATTGACATTTTATGCGAAGGTATATCAAGTTGTGCATCGACAAATCGTAACTTTCTGGAATGAACTTGAGTTCTTGTTCCTTTAAGACACTGTTAAGAAAACAACTGTAATGAATACAACGTTGTTCGTTCATTTTAAGTAAACCAAAAGATCTCAAATATGGAGTAATATGATCACCAAAAGGAACATTTGTAATAAATCTAATGCAGTTGTTTTGAATTTTTTGAAGCTTTGCCTTGTCATCTATAGTAAGGCAAGGACCATACAATTGATCGCAATAATTGAGACGTGATAAAATCAACGAATTCATAAGCACAAGTTTAGTTTTTCCATTTAAAATATGTTTTAGAGGAATAAGTTGCCTAAATTTTAAGTAACACTCTCTACGGATATGAGACACATGAGAGGAAAATGTTAATTCAGAATCGAATATAACCCCAAAATTGTTAACCTTGTCTACGTACTCTATTTTTTCATTATTAATAGTTATTTGAAGACTGACGCCTGAAAGTTTATGTGATGTGCCAAACAAGATATTGTGACACTTTTTTGTGTTAATCAATAATGAATTTGATGATGTCCATTGGTAAATCTCGTTTAGGTCATGATTAATCCGTTCTGGAGCAAGTAATACTTCACAGGGAGGGAAACTTAAAAATAATTGAATATCGTCGGCGTATAGATGAATTTTACAAAACTTTGGCATATAAACGACGTCAGATATAAAAACAGAAAAAAGTAGGGGGCCTAATTTGGAGTTTTGAGGAACCCCATTGCTAACTCTGCGCTCACTAGAAAAAACTTGACCTTCAGTTGTATTTAAACGACAGACTTGTTTACGATTGTATAAATAGCTTCTGAACCAATCAAAGTTTGGATTACAGATACCATAATAGTAGAGCTTTTCTAATAAACAGTCTATGTTCAATGAGTCGAACGCTTTGCTTAAGTCTAATAACGTTACAGAAGTTAAATTTCCTAAATCTATATTGCTAATTATATGATCTGTTAACGACACAAGTGCAGTAGGGATACTATGACATTTACGAAAACCTGATTGAACCGGTGGTATGATGTTTTTGGAATTAATAAAGTCACTAAGCTGCTGATAAATAACAGACTCAGCAATCATCAAAACAACAGGCTGAATGCTAATGGGCCTCATGTCATTCAGAGATGTAAATTTATTCTTTTTTCGTATGGGAGTTACGCATGAAGTTTTCCATAATTTGGGAACATAACCATTTTCAAAACTGAGGTTAATGATGTGTGTCAAGGGGGCACTAACAAATGGCAAAGCAATTCTCAACATCCTACTAGAAATACCGTCATACCCCATAATAGAAGGTTTTAATTTCAGTATTGCTTCTTCAATTTTCTCTACTTTTTTTATCTGGTCAGCATTAGCTAGTTCAGGAGGTATGGTTTCATTATTTTTACTTGCTATTATATTAGAGTTCCGTAAAGTTGCTCAAAATTTTCTTGGATTATTTTTACAATTCTGTGTAAAGTTGTATGTCATAAAACCACGTTTTTCTTGCTCTAGTGCAATATTATAAAAATTTCTTAATTCACAATAGTATCTTTTATGTTGTTCAAGCTTTGTCCTACAAAAATGATTCCAAGCTTTCCTATTTAGGATTCTGAATTTTCTAAGATTGTGAGTATACCATGGTTGATGAGATCTTTTAGTTTTATGACAACAGATTCTTAATGGAGCATGTACGTTAAAAATACTTAAAATGCATTCGTTAAAATATTTAACTTTTTCATCTAAGTCTGGCAACATATATATTTGATTCCAGTTAATTCTCTCAGCATCCTTGGAAAATTCATTTATGTCCAAATTTTTAAAACTTCTAGTAATTTTATGATTAGTTATCTCGTTATAATTATTAAAATCTACTATACAATGAATATTGTTGTGGTCGGCTAGTGCAAGATCAGATACCCAAGACTTAATAATTTCAACATTTGAACTAACAATAATTAGATCTAAGAGAGATTCGCTATCCTTGGTAATCCGTGTGGGAACATTAATTAATTGGTTACAATCAAGTTCAAATAACAAAGATTTTAGAAATTTGCTACCAGGAGAATCAACAAGCAAATCAACATTGAAGTCACCAATAAATATAAAATCAAGTTTTTTCAGGGTCAAAAAATTTATAATATCTCCTAGCAAATTTAGATTGTTAAAATTAATATCAGGTGGTCTGTAAAATGTACCTACGGCAATCTCTTGTGAGTTTATCTTAAGTTTAATTAATAAGTATTCAATAGAGCTATCAGAGGTTTCATCCGAACAAAACTTTAAAATTTCAAATTTAAGAAAAGACTTAACATATAAAGCAACACCTCCACCTACTGTGGCATGATCCTTGCGAATGATGTTGTAGCCTGCCAAGCTAAAAGTATCGTCTGGAACATCCGATGGAAACCATGTTTCACTGACGCCGATGAGGGAATAATCATGTTGGAGTACTATGTCTTTGAACTTGTGAAATTTGTTGCACAAGGATCTTGCGTTCAGGTGAGTGATAGCTAGGCCACTTGGTTTTGATTCGTGCGCTTCCAAAAAAAATTTATTGACAGTTACTCCAGAAGGCCAAAAGTTTGGATCCATTACAGATACAGTTAACGAGTTTGGAACGGTGATTTTAAAAGACCAGTATACTTCTGGATGTTTAGAGCTCAATTTCTCGCAGTTTATCTCTGATGACGTTGATGCAAAAAATGCAACTACATCTTCAACGGTTGTACCAGGAAGAAGGTGGCTTATATGAAAGCTAGAAGTTTTATTACGCTTTGGAACACCAATTAAG